TGACGTGCGGTGGCGTGGGCATGAATACCTAGAAGGCAAATGCGAACGCCTACTGTTTTTTACAATTGATGCGCAAAGAGCCATGTACCACAAATCGAAGCACTGTAGGGGAAGGGGCAGTGCCCATTCCTTTACGGAAAAGCACGTGCCACTAACCTGCAGTCACGGCACAGCTACGGACAGGTGGTCCAATTCATTCTCTGCTAGCCTTGCATAATTTCAACCCACCCATTGTCTCTGAACTCCGGGGCGCATTGCACGGCGGTCAACGGCACGTGTGCCTTGTGCAATGCTCCCGGGAGCTCAACAAGCCTGTGCTTTGTAACGATGGACCATGAACAAAGCCCTGACGCCCTGGTTGAACCCAGCAAGTTGGGGCCAAACGAGGGGGAAAATGATGCAAAGTAATTTAGCATCCGCCATCTCCTGAGCCTTACCTGCCTGGATCCCCTGGACATCCTTAACGGCCAGCTAAGCTCTCACGATGTCAGCTGAAAGCTCACGGCCCTGAACAAGCATAAGCTAGTTGCATTTCCAAGCCAAAACGTTAGTTGGCAGCGGCAAGCATCTGAAAATTTGACAAGCGGAACTTAGCATCTACACAATCTCCCGCTGTAACCTCAGGGAAGCATCGTCCCTTGATCCCTGTCCAGGAGTTATGCTGAAACTTGTCATGCAACAGCATAAAGAACAAGATGGGCCGCCTCTACCATGCAGATAAGCCGCAAACCACTGCTCATTCCAAATCGCAGAATTCCTGTCACAAGATAACCGCGATAAATTGAACAGCAAGTCTAATGCGGGGGATTGCTCACGCATCCTGTTGTCCGCCTGCCCAGTCAAGAACGGCAACAAACGGCAATTCGCGCTCCTTGGTGCTCACTTACATGTGCAACGACATGCACAGGGGCGAAATATCAGTGTGTGTTCCAACATAAAGTCCGGAGAGGGACGCGGCTACGCCTAAGCACAGTACTGCAGACGGTTGCGCCGCTACCCCCGAGCGTCAGAGTGCAAGCAGTCGAGGCGAGAGCTGCGGAAAGTTTATTATGATATGCAGCAGTGCTGCGCCTGTAACCACGTATGCATGTTTGCTCCTAATGCAAAATGTGGTTGGAATTTTGAACATGCCGAGGAGAGTGGCCCGACAAGTTGTCGATATTTCTTCGCTCATAAGCCATGCACGAAGGGGGCAAGGACCTACCGAGCAAGAATATCTGCCTTCGTCTGTCAGTCGTTCATCCTGTGCCCCGTTATGTGCTTCTGTCTTGCCCGGGCGTAGAACAGAGGAGCATATCACCAAGAGGAAAATCACTGCAGTTGCAGCTAGGAGAGAGAGAACAACGGTGGCGAGGGCTGGGCGAGGAATAGATTCTGAGTGCGCAGGAGGGCTTTCAGCCTTCACGAAGAGTTCGCCACCAGGAGGAAGAGCGTTAGATTCAGCCGACGCTGTAAGCCCAGCATTGGGCAGGGCTCGAGAGGCATGGACAGCATCCAAGAGTCCACAAAAAGCAGAGAAGAGAGAGATTAAGGGAAACATCGTCACAAAAACCACATCTCGACCCAAAAATTATGCAATAAAACCCGAAGAATGTGATTTTTGTAAGATTCTTCAAGAGACCACTCCTCCCGACACGGTCAGTCCCGTCGACGACTCCGTAGACACCCCAGTGGGGAGTATGAGGACTAGCCCCGAGCTGGCTTCTGCGCTCTTCCTGATCGACCTCAATTAATAAATGCACTGAATGGTGTCTCTCAAGAAAGACGAAAAAGTCCATTAATAACGCAGCAGGCTTCAAAAAGCCTCCGATGGCTAAGGGCTGGCCCTACATAATAGGTTCAATTGTCCCTTCAAAGCACTTCATTGTTCTCTAAACACGATTGCGCCATTGGGAGTAGCTATATCTCCAGGTCTTTTTTCAGTGAAAAACTTCTCCCGGGCAAGTTTGGTTTGCTTTAGCCTCCAGGTGCCTCAACGACACCTGAGGCTAAAGCAAGCCAACCTTGCTCAGGTCAACCGCAAGATTGGCTTGCGCCGCTCTCTCCCCCTGCTTCTTTTTGCCTCCTGAATTGGGATTCTTAATGTAGATTCCTCTTCCGCTAAAGGTAGCACAATTTGGCCGTAGGAGGCATCGCCACGTAGGAGCGTGCATCGCCACATTCCCGGCTGTGGAATGCGTCAGAGGTAGTGAAGCAATTGCCACTGCGAAATCGTGCGAGTTTGCTTCCTTTACCTTGCACCCGCAAGAGCCTGTGCCAGTGTGCTTGGGACTCTTGGAGGCCGGCAGGGGACAATGGAGGAACTCTCCCGTAAAGTGTTCTCACGTTACTGCAATGTAGCAGGGTACTTGGATCCTCGTTACAGTTATTAGCACTTCATGATGCAGCATTATGAGCTTGTACACTGGCCGCACTTTGCTGGCATGCGGTGTAGAACGGCTGTTTGGCACAGGAGCACGCATTTACTGGTTTAGTAACAAAAGGGCGCGATCCCATCCGAGGCCCGTTGTGAGGTGCGGTCACACCCGAAGCCTGAAGGTAAGAGCTGCTTGAAAATGGATTACCTTCTCTCCCGTCCCCAGACGTTCTGGGCACAGCCGCAACTGCAGCTCATGACGGTTCCACACTAATGCCGAGTGAGTGGCAATTAATGCAGGGCAGTGTAAGTACAGTGTATCGCTATATCGCTAATGTGAAAATTTACCCGCCGGCTAATCTGACCCGAGCTAGTGACTTTATGTGCAGCGGTTCATCCATGCCTGCCACCGTGCATCGGTCGCTCACGACTCTAGCTTTATTTTCGTGCATGCAGGACACCAGTTAACGCTGAGGGCTAAATTCAATAGCACATTTGTTCGCGAATAGAGGACGCTTTCGAGCAGCACATGGCTTGGGAAACCTTGTCTGCTCCTTAAAAGCGACGAATAGGCAAGGTCAGCGTAGGGAAGTTCATTGCACGCTGGTGCGTGCAATCCTACTCTCTATCAGTCTGGCTGCTGGGGACGAAGAAGGCGTTTGGCAATTTTCTATCGTGTTAGCGCATGAAGTGAAAAGGGGTTGCCGATGGCGCCGCAACAAGATACATTATAAGTGCTGGAACCGATGACGCGCATTTCCTTCTCCTCAACAACACCAAACTGTTGTACCGCTGTGCCCAGTTTATCTAACAGAACGAACGGCCCAGACTGAATTATCTGCGCCCCGGCCAGTTCAAATGTCAAATGCTAGCCAAAAGCTGGCGAGAAGGGAAGGACTTTCCTTAGAAGAACTAAGGTAACTTTGGGCTTGAAGTTAACGTCAAAAATCCTGAGTCTGAGCATTTAAAGTGTAGGAACACTTTCAAGTCGTGTTTGTTTCAGAGTCTTCCGGTCCCTAAATCGGTTGGTAGGCTTTTCTGTGCAGTTCCCGAAAGTCAAAGATGATGACTGCATCTACCGCGTTGGCTGTAAGTCTGCAAAATACGGCGTTCTATGTCATCGACGTAGTGTCGTTGATGGCCCCCAGTTTGAACCCAGCTATTGGCAGCAGGCCTTGGATATCAGCAGCGCAAAGCTTGCAGGGGCAGCTTTTACCGACTGGGTAGTGTAAGAGCAGATAAGAAGAGCACGAGGTTGGGAGGCAAGAAGCAACGATACAATACAGTCGGCAGTTACCCTTACCTACAAGACCCTGCCTTGCTGGATCTTCGTGCCATCCAAGGCACACAGCATAGCGACCATCCCAAGGAACTGTTTAAGAAGTTGGTTAGGCCCTCCTAGTGCCCGTTAGGAGTTTCATTGATTTGGCTTGTGCATCCGCCCGTCCTCCCTATTAATCCCAGCTTCCTGCTGCAGTACTAGGGCGATCAGGAGAGCCTCAGGGGAGAGAGGCACGCATTGACGACGGTTTATTAAGGCGGCTTTACAGCATTGCAACTGCCTACGAGCTTAACCGAAAACTGAGAGCTCGCTACGCCTGCCGCGTGTGTGCCGCAAGCAGCTTTTCGCCTAAAAATCAACTGTAGGGCAGTTCAAAAATGCATGTGATAAAGCACATTCCGTAGCCAGCCCGTAGACCTTCACTGTCTGCGTCACCTCATTCATACTGATTGCAGCGAGAGCCCCGGATCTAAGCTGAGGACCGTGTGCTCCAGTAGTCCAAGCACTAGGGGACCCATAGAAGAAAGCAGCCTCCCTCCCAGCCTCCAGGCGTGCCGGACACAGCAGCACACGGGTCTGGCGCAGTTTCGGAGGGGAAGCGGCATATCGTGAGTTGCAACACTCCCTGCGGCAACCCCTACTGCGAGGCAATCCCACTTGCAACCTTGAGCAAGCCCACTTCAGTGCATGCATTAGACCTGTGTATAACTTTGCCGTGAGTGCCCACCCTGCATACAAGTAGAGATACTCATGCAATGCTCAGAAAGACGATTCTACATGGGTAAACTGCAGTAGTACTGCCTGGCGTGAGGATCGAATAGGGCACGGGAGAGGAGCGGCGTACTGTCTCCTCGTATAGTGGAAGTATAATTTTGTGTAGTAGAATTGCAAAGAAAACTATGAAATAGAGCCATTTTGGAAGTTCACCGCCGATTCTCGCTGCTGCGTTCACTCGGTACCAATGCCACTGTCCTGCAGCTGCCCATGCGTCTTGAGGGTGTCCGATGCATTGCTTGCCACACTATCACGATACAGCTCAAAGGGGTTGTTTGAGTATCCATGTATGTGAGAATACTATTATGGTATGGTCGTCTTTATCTTTTTCCCGTGCAAGTGGTCCGCAGTCCTGCAGTCGAGACATTGGATAGTGAGGCCTCGATGTTTGCGTGTGCTGTCGTTGGCAGAGTGAAAACTGAACCACTCTTGGAAATGGTTGGTGCCTCGTTGTGTTTCTGGTGGTTTTCTAATGGCAGCTGTTCTTTCTTGTTCTCCTAGGAGGTGCGTGCAACTGCGGTCCTGCTGGCACGGCCCTTCTGCATGAACCGTAAATCCTGCAGCTACTGCAGCACTGCCACTTCCGCGATGGGAAAGGAGTCAGCTCTTCGTGTTACGGATTTGTTGGCAGCGGAGGTCTGGGCGTACACGCCACCGCAAGGAACGGAGGGCGTTTTTACAGGCAAACGACAGCGAGTCAAAAGCAAAGCGGAGTGAGTAGTACATCCCAGGCAGCTGCACAGTTGGGGCAGTAAAAGGACAAAGCCAGGCGGCATAAGCCTCAGAGCTGGAGTCGAGCATTCAGCTGTTCACTACAGCGAGGATTGTTTTGTATGGGTATTGTAGCGTTGGCCTCTTGAAGACACGTGCAGCACATACCATTCACAATATACTTGCGGAGAAAGGAAACGCAAGCTTATCTTATACACTAAGGAAACGGCAAAGACCACTCTACGCTTGCCCGTTGATTTGCTCAAAGACCCTGGGCACTGTACTGCTCACGATAAGTACTGAAGGCTCAAGCTTGTGGGGCCTTATGCATTGCGTTTCTGCTTGGCAGACAACGAGCGAAGCGTCGGCGGGAACTCTTTTCGAGGTTCGATGAAGGCATTCAGCTTGACGAGGAAATGTGGTGGTCTGTTACCCCCGAGCAACTCGCCGTGCATACAGCTGAGCGATGTCGCTGTGATTTGATATTGGATGGATTTGCAGGGGTTAGTAATGCCTTGCAGGCTACCGCTTATCACAGTAGAGGAAGGTCACCGGGGTCTGCAGTAAGCACCAGCTGCTGCCTAAGGTGTCTGGGGGTTTCGGCGCTGCTCAGGCTGGGGGGAATACCATTGCCTTTGCGAAGTCGTGTGGCTTTGTCATAGCGTGCGAAATAGATCCGATGCGCACTGAAATGGCCAAGGCAAATTCTGCGGTTTACGGTGAGCCCCAACCTCAATTTCCTCCCGAACAGAAAAATAACCACTTGATTACTTTGCAGTGTTTTACCGAGGTCCAAAGGTGCACGCAGATTTCTCCTGCCGTAGCAGAGCTTTTTTGGCTTGGGCTTCTCTTCGAGCGGCACCGTGCCAACACAACGCAACACGCGAGGCACCGCTAGGTGACATGTTGGATTCGCTCCCTCCTTAAGCATGTAGGGAGGTTTTGATGCTCCAGGAAACAAGCGATAGGCCCCTTCAAATCCTGAAATCCAGGAATTCCCCTTGTCTCCCCGTCTGTGCAAGGCTGCGGAACGCCGGCAGAGGAGTTTTTCATCTCTTCAGCTGGAAGCTCCAGCGGGCCAGCGAGCAGCAGATTATTCCCCGAGTGGACTGTTAATGGCTGCCTTTATTGGATGGGGCTTTGTAATTGGGACTCCAGTTCTCACCCTCATGTACTGGAGTAGCCTTTGGAAGCTGAGCGTTGGGTGTATATTTTTGCCGCTGCTGCAGGTCCTCGAATAACCTCGCACGTCGATTTTATTATCGGGGACTTTGGAACGCTGGCGGCTCGCCAGCTTCGTAGAGGCGCGCTGGATGTGGTGAGGACGTACTTTCCGTGAAAGCAGCCGTCAAGGGCTCATCAAAACAGCAGCTTAAGGGCCATAGAAGCAGGTTGTGATAGGCCCTGGAATACGACGCCCTAGAACACTTTTGACAGCGGCTAGACACGTTGAGAAAAACAGCTGAACGGCGGCTGCCGGCAGAAACGAGGATGTTTAGGTTGTCTGCTGGCTCAGGTTTTTCTTGCTCCTCCCTGGGGGGGCCCAAGCTACAACGCCCGGGAGGTGTTTGACTTACGCCGAATGGGGGGAATGATTGTAAGCATCCGGTTCTTATACCATACCTACCCGGCACCGTGCACTGCTCAGGATAGTTATAAGGACCACTCCTTAGCTTGTGGGCCCGATGTCGACTAACGCGAACAACATTTGGCGTACAGCGCATGCGGTGAACACGCTGTTTCTGTCATTTCCGATTTATAGAGGGGCATCAATGTCGTCTAGTCTTCAGCTGATCCATTTATGGGCACGCAGCCTGCAGACATGTTTCCTACTGTTGCGTTGTGGTTTTACTTTCTTAAGGACTTTGGTCACGCCCTGCGTCTCGCCCAGCGAGTGGCTCCGCGCGTTGCTGCATTTCTGTCAGTTACCATTCCCAGCTGCCTTTGCACGTCCCCTCATTCCGCCGGCGCATCAGTTTGCCGTTGAGCCGGAAGCGGTCGATATGGACGCTTCATAACTCCTTACCAGCTTCATCTATTCACTGTATCTGCTGCAGGCCTCGTTCCGTGTGCCTGTTGCCGCTGCTACGCGCTGCTGCACTGTTCACCTTACGAGGAGACGCTGCCACGGGTGACTCCGCTGTTCAGGCTGGCACCGACAGTGCTGAGTCCCCGCCTGCAGCACATGCTGCAGCAAATTCTGCAGCAACTGATCTTCCAGAAGACTGCGATGGGGAGGAGACTCTTTACTGTCAACCGTCAGTGCCTCGCATGCACATAGAGTTGGCCTTGTGTCGTTCAAGGCGAGACGCTGGCAGCTACTCTTTTGACCAGCTTGGCAGTTGCGAGCGGCTTGCTCATTTAACCTATGGCCTTTGTAAAGTGATTTCGAAGGCTCGTTCACAGAGCGAAGAGTCGCCCGCTGGCGCCTCGCAGGAACAAGAGGAGCCTTGCCATAAACGCAGACGCATTAATTCTATAGGTTCGGCGGGGCACGCCTTAGATCAAACACCGGCAGCTACAGCGCATCAGCGGCGGTGGGAGACAGCAGAGGCAGCTGAAGAAGAAATGTGCCTTTTGGAAGGGGAGGCACGGTGTGATTTACACGGAGCACTTAGAGACTTCGTGAGGGAGAGTCAGAAGGTGTACGAGCATATCGATGACTTTCCAATTGATTGGAGACTGCTACCTATCGATTTGTTGTGGGCAGCGGCTCCGATCACAAGGGGTTTTATTAGAGACCCGCTTCACCTCCTAAGTAGACGTCTTAAGGCTGCAAAGGAGAAGGAGCAGGACAGCGGCCCTGGGGAGACGGAGACGGACCCCGAGCCCGAAATGCTGCCACTTCTAAATGATTTGCTGTGCTCTCCATTCCCCTGCGTCTGTACACACATTGATTCCTGGCGCTGGCGGTCTGTGGGCGTGACCGCGTTTTTTGGTCCGTTTGGTGACCAGCATGGTGCTGCTCTGGAACAGGCCGATGCAGCTGGTCACGGCCTTTACAGAGCGATTTCAGCTGCTCGTTGCCGTGGTTCTGTTCTTGCCTCTCAGCTGCAAGAGCCGCAGCTGGGCGCTGACGGTTTCGAAGGGAATACAGAAGGCAAAAGGCTGCGACGAGAAGTCAGGCGCATTTTGACGGCTCTTGTTCACGACGTCCTACAGTTCACCGGGATCCCTGACCCTGAATTGGGTCCTGTGGCGGGTGACCAGCATCAGGATTCGACACAAGGAACGAAGTCTTTAAGTCAGTCAGGCCCGTCGAGCAACGCTCAGAAAGGAAGGCCAGAAACGGAAGGCAGCTCGAATTTGGAGAGCCTAGGTAGAGACCCAGAAAGCGCCAAAGGGGGAACCACTGTGGGCTTGGCTGATACGCAGCCTGACATGCACGGGCCCCAGCAAGAGGGGGCATGCAGTATTGCATGCTTCGCTAAGCAAACCTTTACATCTTCCTTTTCTCCATCGGAGAGGCTCTGCAATTGCTTTTATTTCCAGGCCAGTTCAGAGAGCTGCAGACCTCAGGTGCACAGGCGAACTTCGGGAAGCAAGAGCCCAACCTCATACCCAGACCCAGGCAGTGGGGACTGCTACAGTGAATCAGAGCGTGCAAGGACTCGGCATGAGTGGAGAGCCTTTGCTCGTCGTCTTGTGGCGACAGCAGCAAAAAAAGTTGTCAAAAGTCGGGGCGTGTGTGCCTGCAAGCTATGCTGCTGTGGGGCCGGCTCAGCAGCTGAGCCCTGCCGGCCTTCCAATACAACATGTACGTGGCGTTCTTTCATTTGGAGTGAGTGCAGCAAGTTGCTGCACAGCATTTTGGCAGCTGCCAGCAGCCACTCGACTATTCTACGTCTTGCACTGCCTCGGCCTCTTTCGAAGAAAAGGAACAAGAAGAGGCAGCAGACGCCAGGAGTGCCGTTGTCGGCAGATCCCCTGCCACCGATGGCTCGGCAGGACTTTCTTCAACGTGTCTTGAGTGCTTATGTTTCGCCAGAATGGGCCACCATGGCCTCGCGAGCAGAGGCGCAGAGAAAGGTAGAAGCAAAACCAGCAGCCTCGCCTCCCGGTGAAAGCGACGGTGCCAACATGTCAGCAGACCGTGGCACAAGTGACCAGAGCTCCGTAGACGGAGAAGCACAACACACGGGCAACGAAGGTGCTTCGAAGTTGTGGACGCCGGAGGAAGTGCTTCACTGGCAAGTTGGTTGCAGCATGTGGTGCAACTCGGCGCTGCGTGTGCTCAGCGCTCAGCACCTGGCGCAGCTGCTGCAGCTGCGCTCGTGTTCGGGGAGCTAGTACTTTGCAAGCCTTGCAGATTAGGTCTGCCACCGAATGGCCTGACTGCTGCCAAAAGAAGCAGCGGAGCAATCATTTGGGTTTGAATTGGACAAAAGTAAGAAGAGGCATGTTCTAGGAGTTGGGTCCTAAGCCACTTCGGGTCAAGCAGTGTGCATATGATTCACCAGCTGCAGGTGATCTGTCTCTGCTATGCAGGCACAGGCTCGCAGCAGTGCGGGCCCAGTAGAATATTGCGACTGTGCTTGGGCAGGCGAGGAAGCCACCGCTGAGTTCTTTGTTTAATACTATAGTCTTTAAAGACTCGGCTGTAGATATCTTTTGGCTAGGTCTAGCTTCTTCACTGCTCAGAAGTTTCAGGTTTGTTCGTGCCTTAAGAGCACAACGCCCGAAGTCTTTTCGTAGTTTAGGTTAGCCTATGCGACTTGGGCTGCTGCAGAGCATGCCGCTGCGCTGCGGATGCATGCAACAAGCACCACTGCCCCAGCCCCATCACCATTAGCTCTTTGCTCAGCGAGCATACAGCCTCCTCATTTTGATATCACGGATGCCGCCTTTGCTGGAGGCAACATTGTGTCAATAGCAATTGGGAAAGGGGCAAGAGGGACTTCATAGACAGATGTAGAATGTGCCTTCACTGAAGTATTTGCACGATGGATGTATCTGCCTGATTCGAGAAACATAGATGACTTGGCATCATAGCAAAAGCTCTCGCATATGCGCCCTACTGGAACGCTCAGAGCACGCCTTCACATGCATTTCCTTTCTTGGCTGAAATAAAGACTCTTCGTGATTGTGGGAGGCTGTACTATTCTTCAGTAGATCAGCGTTGATTGCGAGACCCCGGGCAGTCGGACCAGAGGTGAGGGATAACGGGTAGCAGCAGCAGTGGATAGCCGATCCGTTTTGCTGCCACGGTCTTGTAAAGGCACGAAATGATGTATTCTCAAGTGCCTCCGCTTGAAGAAGGTAGGGTCCTGCAGCTGCGCTTGACCGAGCGACGCAAGGGAAGCGTTGCAGCTCCATTTTGACGCCCTTCGGTCCTGCTTGCAACTTAGAACTGCCTAGATGTGCACAGTGGGCGTGCTAGAAACTAGGCCTAGTCAGGGTGTGTAGTTCTTTGCGAGCCTCGGCTAGCCACCGCAGACAGACCACACGATGTTGCATGTTGTGTCAAGGGTTCTTACTGCTTTACGGTCTTTCTCCACCCTTCCCCGCTGATTATGGCGGGCCAACTAAGAATGGATTTACGGTATATTTATATTTTTCAAATACACTAACGTGTTTAGCCATTCTCAACTGCTAGTACATGCACCAAATGGGGATCGTGTTTGCTTCCACTTTGGGTTTTCTCCCAGCAAGGGTTGCATGAAGGTGTTTTGCTACTCAGAGCAGGCCGCCTCCTTTGATAAATGCCCAAGACCCTTGCGGTGCTCTGCAATACTGGGGGGAATTCCGGTGCCCTTTGGGGTCTCCTGCAGATTTTCGTTTTGCTGCTCATGATGGCAATGCACCCAGGCCAAGGCCGCCCTTGACACGGGCACACTGTCACTGTCCACTGGATATTGAAAACGGAACAATCCCTTCTTAGACGCGCTCACAGCTGTCGGTTAATGCCTTCTTGTGCGCTCCTAAAGAGATACTTTCCCTATGGAAGAAATGCATTTTGTATGTGTAGGGATAGGGGTGGGGGCATAAGCGCCATCTTATCCACAGCTTCGAGTGTCGAATGCATTTACTGTATCCCTTTCAAAGTAAAGCAACGCGTTTTTAAATAGAAGACCTACGCCACACGCGGCCTGCGGCGTATGGCGGGCTTCGCAAGAGACAATCGACATAGCAAGGCCTGTGCCGCCAGTCCGAGAGACATGTCCGAGCCCCCTCAAATGCAACTTGCTCATTCTCACTTTAATGCAATTCATCATTTTAGTAAGAAGGAGAAAGCCTTTAGAGTGGGCCTCACTCGCAAGCCCCACTGGGCCGTGGGGCCGAGGAGGGCCTCCCAGTGGCCCAGTGCTGCACGGACACCGGCAAACCCTTTTCTGTTTAAAGAAAACTTCACGAATAACTGATTATGGATTCGGTTTTGAGATTTGGGGTGCCTTTTTCCACCAGTATTGCAGTGCAGGTGCAGGGCGCCGGCCCTCTCGATCCTGTATTCGTCCTCTGGCTGCTTTCACTGTTTGCCTTCGTCTCTCTTTAATTCAACTTGGGTGTTTGTCTTCTGGCTGCGTATACACGCTGAGACAGACGGTACTTTCTTTACCCTCTAAGCCTTGCACCTTACTCGTGCGTATCCTGCAAAACAGGGGCGCAGTGTCAGTTCTTCGCTTGTCTTGATAAAGGCTTCTAGGCACTCCCTGACTTGCAGCAATAAAATGAGAAGTGTTTGCCCCTCTATTCTGCAGCGGCAGCTGCTGCCTTCCTCCCTGTCTGTGAGCGGCTGCCGCGGTTCCGTTATCTCAGGTGCATCCAGGGGAGCCCCAAAGGGGCCCCTGGGGTCTGCTGGAGTTGCAGTTGCTCTCCCAGCGTGCAGCACTCCTGGGGGCGCCAGGCATACGGTGCCTAATGAGCGCATGCAGCAGAAATGGGCCTGGATTTGTGGCGGCTCGCTGGGACGGGTGGAGTTGAGGAGTCTGTCAACAAGTACGAGCGCTCCCGAGGAGAAACAAGTGGGATCAGAGGGGGAGGAGAGACACGCTTTTCAGGCTGAGACACAAAAGCTGCTGCAGATCGTCACACATTCTCTCTACACCGACAAGGAAGTCTTCATTAGGGAGCTCATCTCAAACGCATCCGATGCGTTGGAGAAATTCAGATTTTTACAGGCGTCGGAGCAGCAGCAAGCGGAACAGCAGGAGCAGCAGCAGCAGCAGGAGCGAGGACAACTCCGCGTCGTCTTACGTGTTAATCCTGCAGAGAAGACATTCATCATTGAGGTATTCCTTTGCTAGTAACGCATACATTTTGACAACCTGCACTTGCACCGGTTTGGTCTCCGTCTCTCTGTTTGCTTGAGACGGGCTCATGCAGCAGAGAAGAGCAGAGGAATGAGAGAGGATGGGGTAGAAAGCAGCGAAGTGATGTAGACAGAAAGGCGTAGAGAACCCCAGGAGGCAGACGCAAGACGTCAGTTTAAACGAAAAGGGCTTGGGGGAACTTACGCAAGACAAACATTTTACAGAAATGCAGAGGGATCGAGCCGCTCACATGTATTTGTACTGCCACCCCACAACACTGGCGTGTGTGCGTGCGCTGCTGCTGCTGACGATGGTATTTTCGCTGCTGCTCCTGCTGCTGCGGCTGTTCTTGCTGGTGCTTCTTTTGCTGCTGCTTTTGCTGCTGCTGCTCTTGCTGCTGGTGCTTTCTTTTTTCTCTTGCAGGACAACGGTGTGGGAATGAGCCGCGACGAACTTGTCAAGAATTTGGGCACCATCGCGAGAAGCGGGTCCCTGGAGTTTTTGAAAAACGCCGGGCCAAACGCCAGCAAAGACATCATAGGCCAAGTACGCAGCAAGAGGTTTACCCGCATTGTTTAGAGTTTAGGGCGCAGTGCGTAGAGCTCTCCGTAGAGATTGGTTCGCGAGACTGTTTGCCTAGAGTTCGTGGTTTAGGGTTTAGGGACAGTCTGTATGTTCTGTGGTGCCTACGCAAGAGTTATGTGCTGGGTGCAGCGGGGCTGGTGGTGAGCCGTAAACCCACGCCTGAAGGTCCACGGTGTGTTGGTTCTTACCGTTTTCGTTAGAGTTAAGGGTTTACGGTTTAGGGTTTACGGCTTAAGGGGTTGGTGTGCGTGCCTGTGTGTCTGTGTGCGCTTTTCAGTTTGGTGTGGGATTCTACTCGAGCTTTGTGGTGTCTGAGCGCGTTGAGGTGTACACGCGGTGCCGCGACGGTGGACGTGTGCTGCGTTGGTGCAGCGACGGCTCCGGGTCTTTCACGTTGTCATCTGCTGCAGCAGACTCTCTTAGCTCGCCCTCAGGCACCAAAATTGTATGCCACTTGAAGCAAGACTGCCTAGAGTTCGCGAATCCCCACAGAGTTAAGGAATGCGCGCAGAAGTTCTCCGCTTTTGTTAAGTGAGCACGCAACACAGCCACTCTGCTTTTCGTCTCTCTACCTCTTTGAACTCTTTGTCAGTACAGCTTTTTCCTCTCCCTGCAGTTTTTCTCTTATCTGCTCGGTCGCTGTGCCGCCACAGTGCAATTCTTCGAGAGCGCGGCTGCGGATTTTGCATGTTTCCTTCTGTTGGGATGGATAGAGATCTTTTGCATGATTGTTGTTGTTGGTATGCGTCATTATACCCCAGCTGTTGTGTGGAATCTGCTTTCTCGCAGCTTTCCAGTGTATATGGAGGATAATGGCAAAGAGGTCCAGGTGTCATCGCAAGAGGCCTTGTGGCTTAAAACCTCTGCCACCCCTGAGGAGCACAAGCAGTTCTTTAGGTGCGAACCTTCGCCTTTTTTGCATGAAATTTTGAATCTTTTCCCTGTCTTCTTAGCCTATACAGTCTCAGCTCCCGCATGAGCTGCGTTGCGCTCTTCCCTCCCTGGTGTTGGCGAAGGCATAACTTTGTACAAATTAGACGTCCATATAAACATTATGTGCTATATATATGTCCAAAAAGATGCATCCATGTACGGCATTCGGAAGATTTAACATCAGTTTTCATATTCCTGCGCGCATGATTATACATACATGCATATATTTGTGGCGCCTACTTATGTTTATTTTTACAGACGCACTTCTGTTCACAGTAATGGCTTTTATGCGATGAATATACCTGCGCTGTTCTTAGTGCACATACATTTTAAAAGGAAGGATGCCCATCGAGACGGGCGTTTGCGTAGGCATATAAGGTTCCGTCTCTATTCATATTAGGGACTGTACCTGCAGTCCCTAATTTTGTTTTCCGTTGTTATTCGCTTTTGCCTCAGGCATCTGACGAACCAGTCCTGGGGGGAGCCTTTCTACAGCATCATGTTCTCAGCTGACGCACCATTGAGCATCCGCGTATGCCGCCTGCCGGACCAGAGTTGTGTATACAAATAGCTTTTTTGAAGCATTTAAGAATTAGTATTCTATGTGCTCGACGGGAAAACTCTTGCTCCAATATATATATATATATATATATATATGTACATATATGCATATATATATATATATACATATGTATATTTTCGAATTAGTGTCTTGCCGTCGCGCAAATTACCGTGACCATCAGTGAGGAGTCACTGACGTCGAGTCTTTTCAGTGGGATATTGCCTGTGCGTGTGCGTATATGTGAAGCCCTGCTGCTTGCGTGCGTGCCTTAATTCATCCATGTCTCTTCTCCTCTGGGTGCCGTTTGAGAACGTTTGTGGTTAATTTATTCCTGTTGAGCCGTTTGCTGCCTTTCTGCAATTTGCAGTCTGTTTTATACTTCCCGGCAGACCCCCCGAACCGCCTGTTCCAGACGGGTCCCCTAGAAAGTGGGGTATCTCTGTTGTCTCGTCGCGTGCTTGTTAAGAAAAGCGCCACAGATCTTCTTCCAAAGTGGCTGTGGTTCCTCCGAGGCATCGTAGACTGCGAGGACCTTCCCCTTAACGTCAGCAGAGAGCACATGCAGGACTCTGCCTTACAGCGCAAACTATCGAGTGTCATCGTTAGGCGTATCCTCAGGTTCCTCAACGACCAAGTGAGCCTCAACCAATGAACTGTTTTAAATCCTGTACACGGCATGCGCCGCCCGCATGAGGAAGCCCGAAGGGGCTCTTCGGGTTTTCTACGCTGGCTTAGAGGTATTTGTCGGCAGCTGCGTCCCTCGCTCAGAAGGGCTTGTTGAATGCGACTATGCGAAACAACCTTTGAAGCCAGCAGGGGCAGCAGCACGGGCACAAGAGTTCCCCTTTGCAGCAGAGGCTAGAACGGGTTTCTAGAGTTATGCGTCATATCCGTCTATTCTCCTCCAGTTGTTAGGAGTTGTATGCCGCGTATATCGTGCATAGAACTTCTGCAGGTCAATGTATATGCAAGGCGGCTTTGTACATCATATAGTTGTATTTGCAACTGCCAGAAAGCCGTGTCCTCGTGAGATACTGATGTTCTCGTTTGTTTAAATACGGAAGCAACAGGTTTGTTGGTTAGCGGGCTTATTCGTGCCGTGTGGGTTTGCAGATGAAGTCGGATCCGGCGAAGTATCAGCAGTTTTACCAAAAGTACTCTCAAAACATAAAGGAGGGCGTTTTGGAGGATGCGCACAACGGCAGCACTTACAAAGACATGCTGCTGCCTCTCCTTCGGTGGGTCTCTTCTTTCGTGAAATGGCGGGCAGCTTTCTGGAGTGCACCTCTTTTTATTTGCTGTTCTGCCGTCTACCTAGCTTTTTGTGACGGACGAAAACACCCTTCATGTCTGTCGTCTCCACTGGTCTGCGTGCCGTCGGCCACTCCCTAGTGCGCGTGTGAACTCGTCGTGTTGTGTGCTTGGGTCGCTATTCCACCACGACAAGGTCCGCGGGGTTGTTCGTCTGTGGCCTTTCTGCTTGATTGTATTTCTTCATGCGGAGGGCTTTCGTCTTTGTTCTCTAGACACTGCAGCAGATGCGTGCGCTCATCAAGTATTTTGTTGCAGGTTTGAGTGCTCTTCGGAGGAGGCCGGCAAAATGATCACTTTGGACGAATACCTCGACAAAATGCCAGAGAAGCAAAAGCACCTTTACTACTACTGCTGCTCAGACAGGGCGGTATGCGCAATCTTAACCAAATAATCTGTAGACCAGAACGCCGGCTAGAGAACCCGTAGCTACCCTATGCAAGTGAACAGGAGCATCAGCCGGTGGGTGCGAAATACCATATACCTGCATATATACAGTGACAAGACAACACCCAAGCAACGTGCTGGTGCGTCCTGTTGGGTGTTGACAGACGGCGCTCTCCTCTCCCTACATGGAGCAGTATGTCGCGAAGAGCCGCCCCGTGATCTTGATGACTGCGGATATCGACGAATTCCTGGCGATGAACCTCTCTGTCAGTCTCTTTTTGCGTTTTGTTGTCAGCTGTTGGGCGCATTTAACACTTAGTTTCCTCTGCCGCCAGATTGTTTAGGTCTTCTTGTGGTGACTGGTGCTGTACCAGCTGTCTCACAGAGAACTTCCTGTACGGTGTCGCTCGATTCTGCAGTCTCTTTACTGCACTTGTATGCATTATATATTTCTAGCTATGCAGTCAACATATATCATGCGTGCAAAAGCACTTAAAACCCGTATATATGTATATATGCCATCTCGCATGCCCTACGCGTCGGCGGGGTGTTCGCTTTGAGAATGCTTGCATTTGGGATGTGGAGAGTATGTGCCTGCAGGAGTACAAGGGGAAGCGGCTAGTGGCGGTGGATTCTCCTGGGGAGGACGTGGAGGAGGAGACAGCGGAGGAGGAAGACACAAAAGCAGCTGACGAGAAACAGGGGAAGCCCAAGCTGGTGGGGGAGCAGCAAACCGAGCTGGCGTCATTCGTGAAGGTACCGCATTGCACCCACATGCGTGCGTGCAAGCCCTTTGATTATGCGAGCATACCCAAACAATTGCTCACTCATGTAGAGGCACGCGATTTCCGTGGAAACCTGCGGCGGCCCTCATCGCCGTCTGCAGCTGGCATCTGGCCCATCGGAAGCTCTTGCTGAGGTGCCGTACTTCCTCCCGTTGTATGGGTGTTCTTTTATATCTGTATATATACTTATGTTTACATCACCTGTATACATACATATCTGTGGCGAGGTGTGCGTGAGGGGAAGTGGTATCCGTTTCTATACGCTGGGTGCCTTATCTTCGCGTTGTGATGCCCTCAGGATACCCTCGCCTCCCGTGTGACGGCAGTAAAGTTTTCGGAGCGTTTGCTGTCCTCTCCCGCTGTTGTCTCTGGCTTCCTTTCTCCCACTCTTAGGCGAATGATGAAGGCCACATTGCAGGGGGCCCCCGAGGCGCAGCTGAGTGCGTGTATTAGTCGTCCCTTGAGGCATCCTTAAGCATTGTATGGAAACCAAGCGAGGGGATGCGTGCTGCTTCAGAACACAAAGTTGCTGTTGGTGCAAGGAAGCGATGTGCTGCAGCACGAGCTTGTGCGCCAGTGCCAGAGTCTGTTCGGAGTTTCTTTAATGTGTTAGAGGTGTGATGATGCATCTAGTATTCTGTGTGCTGTGATTCCCAGACTTAGCGAGCCTTCCGGCTACACTTGAGTTGAACCCTTCGCATGAGCTGATCACCTCGCTGTATCATCTCCGTACCTCGAACGCAGATGTGGCCAAGGTAAGCAAGGGCCGTCTATCTCCCGGAGGCACTGCCTGGGCTATGTTAGTGTGGGCATTGGGAGTTTTCCTTTATAGACAGAGCTCAGGTCTCAGGGTATGGGGGAACGGCAGCCAGCAAACAAGAGTCTGTTGCAGAAGCAGAGTGTTGATCTGTAAGTTCGTGCACCTGCCTGCAGCTTTTGGTGGAGCAGCTGTTTGACAACGCCTGCGTCGCCGCGGGTATCATGGAAGAACCGAAGTCCATGCTGGGGAGGTTGAATAAACTGATGTCCCTCACGGCTCAATACGCCTACCACCACGCGGGGGGAGGGGCTGCTGCTGCCCCGGCTTCCCCGCCATCTGGGGAGGCGGCAAAAGCGGAACCGGAGGAGGCTTCCGAGACAAAAATGCAGCAACCTGGGGGCATTTAAGTAGGAGGGTCGGATGTATTATTATGATCAAGTAGTGCAGGTCTCAAAGCCCTGCAGATAGCAGTTCCTGCACTAAGCTACGTGCGAAAGTTGCCGTGGCTATAAGCCAGACACTGGATTGGCCGCACAATTTCATTTCTTGTTCTCGTGGCTGTCTGGGGTGTTTGTAGCTCTCGTGAAGTTACGGGCAGAGTAGTGGAGACATAGCGGATTTAAAGAAAGGGAGGAGGTGTGCAGAGGCAGAGGGGCGCTAGTAGTGTGCAATCACCTGTTTCTACGCCTTGTCTGGGGCAGACAGACAACAGGCAACAAATCAGGCACAATGGGGGAGACAGACAGATATCTAACCAAGCAAGCAAAATGGGGCAGACAGTCAGCCAACGAAGCAGACAAGTAAAGTAAGGTTGACGAAGGAAGCGCGAGTTCGGGCCGTGGGCCTGGGCAGGCAAAATGGTGAAGCCAGCGACTTCTGCTGTAGCCCCTGGGCCTGCCAACTGCCTTCCAGGGACAATTCATGTATTGTGATACAGCACGAAGTCGGCGGCAGCAGCGGAACGTCAGACGGGGGGCCATATATCGTGCACATCCTGCAGCGTCTGGTAGTTGTATGAGCGCAGCAGCCCAATGAACTCCGCCAGTAGAAACTTCGGCTCCGACTGCCACACCTTCAGCAGTTCAGCCCTGCGTAGAAGAACAGCAACAACGCATCACTGGCATTGCAGCAATAACCTAGCGCTAGTGCGTGCGCGTGCTACTCCCGTATTGTTCGCTTCCTGCTGCAGCGACAAAGTGCGTAGAGCAGGCCCAACGCTCAACATAATATCAATTGTTCTCAGCTGGCTCGCATTTGTACCACCGCGAGTGACTTTTCCCCCCACAGAAAACGTATTGGTGATAGACGGAGACACAGGAACGCCGCACGGATAAATAGTAATGAAAGCATGAATTATTAGAATTGTTAGTAATAAATAAGTTATTCGGGGGATGGAGTAAACAAGAAGCTCAGGGAATTCTACACAGTCAAATACAAGTGTAGGGACGCCGCTACTATTAATGAGAGGCAGCCGCTTTGTGCGTGAACAAGCAACCCACAGAAGAAACGCGCACAGGTACAGCAGCAGCTACCCGAGCGACACAAGGAACAGTAAACCAGCAGATGACGCCACAGCATAAACCTCTACAGACACCAGGATTTCCCTACCGAGAGGCAACCTCTCTCTTGGTCAGCTCCGCCACAAACGCCCGCACAGCGAAGGTTCCGGAATGATGCCCCACGAGCATTCCTTCCGGTGTTACAGACAACGAAGGCCCGAACTTCTTAAGACGAGGAAGAACTCTTCCCGCGACAAGCGCTGCAGCAAAGCACGCGTGCAGTTGCTGCTGCTGCTGCTGCTGCTGCGGAGACAGCGGAGAAGCCACTGCACCCCGTATGCGGGGAAGAGGCCTCTCCACGGCCGGCAGCGTCAGCTGCAGCGGCCCGTAGGTGGGCCGCGACCACCCCACAACTGCATCTCGGCGTGCGTCGTACCTGCAGATACACCGCAGGTGTGTCCGAAGATGGCTCTTTAAATGAAATGCAAGACAACGCATGCACTGTACGTCGTAGACAAATGTGCGCACAGCACAGAAAACACGGAAACACACACTACGCTGCATTTGCCTCTGTTGCAGGGGCTGCAACATTCGTCATCGCTTACGCTGGGGCTGGCAGCTGCAGAAAGCTGTGCTGTATAAGTGGCGTGTCGCTGGCGCTGAGCTGCGCGTCGTCTATAGGGTGACAGACTTGCAGCACCGCGCGCCCTGCGTGAATCAGCTGGTTGTAGACGAGGAGTTTGGGGCGAGGGCTGCATGCATCAACGTCCACAAACGCTCTGTTCCCCCAATAAACACCCAATCCACACGGGTGCTTGATTCTAAGATCCCAACAGCACTTAGGATCACGCGTGCAGCTCCAGAGCCTGCCTGGGTGGCCCCTGCTGCATCATGCGTCCATGTTGGCATGAGAGCAGCATACAGCCTCAGCTTCGTCTATAGAGAGCCAAGGGAAAGAAAAGAGATGGACTGCAGACTCACGAGACGTGCAATATGTTAGAGGTGCAGTGAACGCGAGCCAACTCCCCCTTGAGCTCTGCACAGCGGTAGCCCCCGCGAGCTGCAGCGCGCTGGGCTGGGGATGCATCCTGTGGCAAGCGGGGTGGATCTTGCCAGGTGGCTACGTGGTCTATGAGGCCTTGCACGGCGCATTCATGCAGGCAGCGCCTTGCCTCCGGTGGGGGGGGTTCGAGTCGCAGCGGCCCCTGCAACGCGTTTAGATCATCCTCATCACCCTGTGGATCCCCCGCACGTCCCTGTCCCCCTCCTCGCCGTGCCTGCTGCAGCAAGCCACGCATCAGCTGCGCTAGCTGCGCTGCAAGCGCCGCCACCTCAGAAAGCCGCGACGCGTCCAGGCCGTAACCTTTGCAGAAGCTTCTTGGATTCTGCGCGTGGCTGTAGGCCCCACAAAGCCAAATATATGCATCTAGATCGCTGTCGTACTCTTCCCAGGGTCTCCTAGCAGGGCCCCTGGAAGCCCCTTGGGGGTTTTCAGGGCCCCCCACGTCCCCTGCCAGATGTGGCGCCTCGCCGCCGCGAGGCAACGAAGGAAGTAATTCCCCAACAGAGAGCGCAGCCACCAGGTAACATGCGAGCGCAACAAATTGGGGGCCGTGCTCTTTGTGTCTGCATGCATGCAACGGACAGAGAGAAGGCGTTCGAACACACGCCATAAAAAAAGAATAACATCTGTACACAAATGCACCGAATAAAAAACTACGCGCAAGCTTCAAAGCTTTTATTGCAACAAGAGATGGCATGCAGAGGTATTTCAATGTTGGTGCTGGCGGGGCTGCATCGATCCGCGTGTGACAGAGTTTTTTATGCCCGCATGTATGGATGCATGCATGCATCCGCTGAAAGGCATGCATGCATGCATTCATACGTGGATGCATGCATGCATCCGCTGGCAAGAGGTAGGCGTGCAATTAGTCTCGCTGTATTTCTGTAGAGAAGCATCTGTCCCATGAATTTGCTTAGACACAAGTATAAGAGAACTAACGCAACCACGCAGAAACCAGAGCGCAAGCATGCGAATACGAACACTGTAAGTGCGGATGCATGGGTGCATGCATGGCGAAGTTTTGTATGCGTGCATGCATGCATGCACGCATACACAACTCCGTCACCCGTGGATCGACGCAGCCCCCCAGCACCAACGCTGGAATACCTCTGCATGCCATGCAGGTATCCTTTAAAAGAAATAAGCAAAACAAGAAGTGTATAAGTGTGGGGCAAGGGATACCTGGAACACGCCAGAAGGAGAATCTTGGCGAAGCGGGGGGGTATAGGCACTTCACTCATGCGGCGGCCGAGAGGGGTACAGCAGACTTCAGGCTCGCGAGCCTCGGTTTGCTGCTGCTTCCGTCGGGGCCCCGAGGCATTCATCTTCGGCTCAAGGGCTCCCAAGGCCACCAAACGGCGACGCGCGTTCGCGAGAGCTGTTAGAGGAGGCGGGGAGGGGAAGGGGAATGCTGATGGGCGAGGGATGCCTGGGGAGACGGGTGGACAGCAGGGAAAGAAACTGAGCCTGAAAGTCCTAAACCCCAAACCCTAAACATGGAACCCTACGCGCTTTAATAACAGCGGCAGACAGCAGGGGAACAAGCGGACTGCCTCAACCCTAAACGGCTACCTCAGATCCTAAACCCTAGACGTCATAAACCGCGCCACAGAACAATGTGGCAAAGACACTGCGTGGGGGACAAACCCCAAACCCTAAACTCTAATCGCTAAACGCTAAATGCTAAACGCTAAAAGCTGCTAGCCTAGAACCGGAAACGCACCGAGTGCAGCCATGAAGAGCAGCAAGTGGTCGAGGGGCACGGTGTGTATCTGGGGTGATGGGTGGGGTTGCATTTCATGTTGAAACACTGCTGAGGAGTAGAGGCGGTAGCAGACGCCTGCGCCGACGCGGCCTGCACGGCCTGCGCGCTGCTGCGCTGCAGCCTGAGTGGTGAGGGTAACAGTAAAGTAAGAAAAGCCCTCCGAGCCCGAGGCAAAAATGCGCCTCTTCTCTCGCCCCGAGTCCACTACATACCTGCATACAGCAACAAAGGCCCAAACAAAATACAAAAAGACACCACACCTCCTGCACCGGAGGCAAAGAAACCTGATATAACTCCCAAACAACAGCAGCAACCCACAAATTACAAGCAACCAATCACGACATGCTCAGCAGACCACACGCCGCATAACAAAGGATACTAACCAACGCCCTATGCTCAATGCAATTACAACACCTGAGAGGAGAGAAGAGTCTGCTGAAGGTAAAAGAATTCATCTTCCGGAGAGGGAGAAGGGAAACATAAAAAGGAACAAACACGAGAAACAATCGCACAAGAACGATTTCTAAACCCTAAACCATAAACCCTAAACCCTACTATCCTAACCCCTAAACCCTAACCAACGAGAAACCAAAAAGATACTTCCGTTAAAAATATTAACGAAGGTCGTCACGATTTCACCTCCTTTATGCCGCACTTCCAGCCTAACAACTAAACCCTAAGCCCTGAGCCCTAGACACTGGAGGCTAAACCCTAGGGATTTAATGCAAGCGCTTGCATACAGATACGCACCGCACATTTGGCAACGTCAGCGACGTTTCTGCCACATTTGTTGCTATGATCATTCGCCTCTCGTCAGGGGCCGGGGGCTCAAAGGCGAGGCGCTGAAGCTCCCTGGGGAGAGTTGCGTACAGCGGGAGGACAGTTAGTTTGGGTATGAAGTGTGTCTCCTCCTCTGCCTCCTCTGTCTTCCGTGCACCGGCGTCCGTGGGGTCCTGCTGTGCCTCCCCATTGCTGCTGCTGCTGGTGCTAATATTTTGTCGCTTCTCCTCCTGAGTAGGTTTCTGCCGCCGCAGCGCACCTGCGCCCAGCCACCCCCCTGCAGAGACCGTCTTCTGGACGCGACGCTTTGAGGTGTCTGGACAGTCAAATGCGTGCACGAGCGAGTCAGATGAGGGCCCTTCATTCAACCCAGCGGGCAACGCTTCAGCGCCCTCTGCAGCGCCAGTAGGTGCAGGTGCAGCGGGAGGCCCAACTTGGGGGCCCCCGACGGTACCCATTTGAGGACCCCCCGCAGTATCGCGTGAGAACTTGGCACGCGCCGCAACTTTTCTGCGCTTTTTTGCTGCCTTATCTCTGTCTCCACTGTCTCCTTCAGTAGATGCTGAGACCCCAGTGTCCCCTTGAGGGCCCCCTCCTGCCTCGGCACCACTGGTGGCCACGCAGAGCTGTTTGGCGGGCCCCCCCGCCGGTTCCCCCTGGACATGCGTTGAGAAGCGAGAGGCAGATAGTACGGCTTTTAAAACTTCTGCTTCCGCCTCCTTGACCCCCTCTTGAGGTTCGTCGTTGTCTTCTGCGTCGCTGGCTAACGCCAACTCCAGCAGCTTGTCGCTCAACCCTGGGTTGGGGCGGTGTGGCCTGCTGCTGTGAGAAGTTGCGCTGTCTTTCGAGTGTACAGACACCTCACTGTCAGAGTCTGCAGGCGCGTGCTGATCCAAAGGTAGCGGATCGTCCTCACTCTGATCAGACAGCAGAAATTCTGCCTCAGAAGCCGTCTCCTCAGCGCGAGACTCGCTCTCAGCAGCAGAAGCCGCAGCAGCAGCAGCCGCAGCAGAAATCTGCATTCTGTTCTCCCGTCGTCGCTGCCACTCCTGCAGCATCTTCACGGCCTCCAAAACCTCCGCTCTCCCAGTTAAGAACACGAGCACAGAGCCCGCGGGCAGTCTCCTGCATTCACCCCACAGTCACCCACCAAAAAGAGCAGTCTCCCTTTACCAACACTGCCCCCTACCATCGACCCTGCAAGCAACTTCAGAGGCTATCCCTTCCTTTTCGCCATGCAGCCAACTCAACAGAGATGTTTTCTGCTTTAGGTGAAGACGTTTAAAGACACAGAGACGTCTCCTTTTGAAGCAAAAGGCACCTCCTCCTTCCAGCCCCCTACTGCAGTATCACCCGTCCCGCCGGTGGTTCCATTCCCCTGTGGCTGCGTGGACCACTGGTCACCAAAAGCAGCAACTGGGCAGGGAGGGGTCTGCCGGGGTAGAGGATGGGCCTCCCGAAAGAGGTGGGAGCTCACGTGTGTATTTGAAGGGCCTTCTTGACTGCTGCTTCGACATAGCGTTCAGGTGTCTTCTTGCTGAAGTGTATGCGCACCTCAAAGGTGCGGCTTTCTAGGGACAACAGCGCGGGAGGAGGAGAGAAAAGAAAAGAGTTTGCGGTGAAGTCGGTGGCCCTAAGCGTAGCTGACATTATCAGCACTCTGCAAACAAGCAACGAAAACACTCAAATGAAGGGTATACGGCGGCAGTATCAGCAGAGGCTGCAGCAGCTGCAGCAATATTGGCTGGAGCGAGAGAGCTGCAGAAGGCGGACCGGCCACACACACACCACGGAGACACCGCAGCGGGAGCCCCTCTTCCACAATTCCCTGGGCAACTGCCGCTGCTGCTTCAGCAGCAGCAGCAGCAGCAGCAACTCTTCACAAACCCGACCCCACTGCTTACGCCCAAAAAGGCTGCCCCACTCCGGCCTGCACTGCATGCATGCATGCGTGCATGCATGTGTGCATGCAGACTGCAGCACGCAGCAATAAGCAGCAAGGGTTTCTGCTTACTTGAGCGGCGGCAGTGTGTCTAATTCTTTTTTGAATCGGTCTCGCCTCAGTACCACCACTCGAGACAACAAACCCAACAACAAGTCGACGTTAATGTTGCGTTCATGCGCCTCATCTACTACAATGCAGCAATACCTCCTGGCGCATGCAGCAGCAGAAAACATCACAACAACACAGCAGCGAGGGGAAGCCAACGGATGATCCATCTAAGTAAGAAAAATTATACAAAAGGCTGAAAAACCGGATGATATATATATATACGCCAATATAGGTGTGCATATATATATGAATATGCATATTATGTAAGTACATATATATAAAGTATATATATACGAGCCTGTGATCAGCGCCGCGTGAACAGCGTCTGCATCTCCACAGGCCCGGGCGAGAAGAGCAAAGGAGCGAAGGCAGACAGAGATATTGTGTTTGTTCGGCAGCTTATAATGAGGAGGCCTGCGTGGTAAGGGGACTCCAGCAGGCCGTGGGGGCCCCCCTACCGGCCTCCTTAAAGATGAGAAGGCTACGGTAAGGGCCCCCAAAAGCAAACAAATGTATTTCTTCGACATATTTTTATTTATTTATATACACAATATATGTAAACCTGGTTACCTAAGAAGGAAATCCTCTTGTATTTCTCTCAGAAGCACCCCGTCAGTAGCAAACTTGAGGCGGCAGTGGGGCCCCACATTGTGTTTGTCGTGGCGTACCTGCGGATACACCCCAGAAAAGGAGACAAGGGCCCCGAACTCTGCGAGCTATACTGCAACTGTCTCTTCGTGCGCACAGGTACACCCGTCAGCTTGCTCCTGCTGCTCTTTGCTGCTAAGTGATAGAAGATAGAGGTACAGGCGTTAAAACTTCTACGGCGAAGCAAAAGGGAGAAGGGAAACAGCAGGCAGAAGGGCATGCGGCCGCAGAAACAAGCAAGAGGGATAGTAGCGGCAAACAACGGAGACAGTGCAGCAGCAAAATAAGACAGACACACACACAAATTCAATAAGCCCACCTGATACCCCACGAGCTCAGGAGACCCCATCTCCTCCGCCACCCTTCTGGCCAAGGAGACAGCAGCAACTCGTCGCGGCTGTGTGACGCAGATGCACAATTGTCTCTTGACAAGAATCCCCTCCTTCGTAGCTTCTGCTGAGACAAGGCCCAACCGAGCAGCAGCACTGGCAGGCGCTGCTGCTGCTGCTGCTTCTGCTTCTGCTGCGCCTGTTCCTGAGGGGGCCCCTCCAGGGGCAGGGGAGGCGCTCGTGTGGGGCCCCCCAGCTGCTGTCTCCTGCTGCAGCAGCTGGCGAGCAGCCTCGCACTTCTTGTGGAAGAGCATCTTGGGGTAGCAAATCCCCGACTCAAACACAAATTGGGGTATCTGCGCAAATGTAAAGAAATGCAAACAAAGAAACAAACGAAAACAAGCAAATGCACAAACAAATAAACTAAAAGGTTACTAAGAAATAAACAAACAAACGGATAAATACACAAACTGACAAAAGAAAGAACTTGATGAGCAATCAACAAACAAACACAAACAAAACACAAACAAATGCATACAAAAACAAGACAACAAACAGACAAACAAAACAAACAAGCAAAAAGACAAGGGAGTGAAACAACAAACAAACAAACAAACAAACAAACAAACGAACAAGCAATAAAAACAAACGAACAGCCAACGAACAAGAGAGGGGCCCCCCAAGGTGGCAGAACCCATAGCAAGGCACAGCGAGGGCCCTCAGGGGCCCCCGAAAAGCCCCTCAAGAGTCCCCGCATGCAAACTCTGAATGCACGCAGTCAGCCCCCATTCCCTCCAACACAGAACACGAGGACCCCAAACAACATCAATAAGAACATCTGCAGCCTTGAGAAGGGCCCACAGGGGCCCCTAAAGAGGGCCCCTGTGACCCCTTCTTAAGGACCCCACAGGGGTCCCGGTGGAGGGGCCCCTGCAGATGAGACCCCACGGGGGCCCTTGTGTGGGGGGCCTCATGGGGGTCCACGTTTAGGAGGCGCCCCATGGGGTCCCTTGTTTAAGACGAGCCAGCTTGGGCATTCTGTGGAGGAGGTGTGGGGGAGGTTGGGGGCCCCTCTTAAGGCTAAGCCCCCATGGGGCCCCTGATATGCCTGTAGGGCCCCATTTGTGTGTGCTTACTTGGGTGCTTTTGCCGGAGCCTGTGGCGCCTGCAACGCAGAGTACATCTGCATGTCTTTGATTTGAACGGTCTTGTATCTTTTTTCTTTTTCGTTTGCTAGTAAGAATCTGGGGGTTGCTAAGGGGGGGGGGCCCATCTTCATCCGTGCTGCTGCTGTACTCTTCTGCGTCCCTCGTTGTGGGGTGCTGCTGCTGCAACAGAAAAGACAGCACGCGCCCTTCCGCCTCAGCAGCAGGCAATGCAGCCCTTGCTGATTCAAGTGCAGCTGTACGATGGAGACACTCTGTCGCTGTCTCCGGAGAGAAAGAAATACGGGGCAGCTCATCAGCGGCCTTCCGCCCTTTCACACCACCTGCTGCTGCCTTTCCTGCTGCTGTTGCTGCTGCTGCTGCTTCTCCTGTTTCTGCTACTGCTGCTGCTTTGCCTGTTTCTGCTGCTGCTGCTGCACCTCCTTCTGCTGCTCCTTCGGCTGCTGAAGAAGGGGGTGGCTTGCACGCACTAACATTTGTCAAGGGTTTGGAAGATGAAACGCTGTTGCTGCTGCTGCTGCTGCTGCTGGCTACTGCTGCGGCAGCAGTGCCGCTCTTCGCTTGGTCCTTCAGCTTGCTGTTCACTGACTGCTGCTCTCCACTACTAAGGTTCTGCTCGTTGACTTGCTCTTGCTTGCGTTGCTGCTCCTGCTTGTGCTGTTGCTCTTGCTTTTGCTGCTGCTCGTGCTTCTGCTGCAGCGCAGGCTGGCCTTCCTGCTTGGCAGCTGCAGCTGCAGGGTGAGCAGCGGGTTGCTTTTGCTGTTGGCGCTGCTCTTGCTTCTGCTGGTGCTGTACGGCCTCTCCTTCAAGATTTTGTGCTGCTCCCTCCTTTTTTAGTTTTTGCTGCTGAGTCTTCAGCTGGCCTTGCTGCTGCAGCTGTTGCTGCCTCCGTTGCATCTCCTGCTGCAGAAGCAGAGCTTTCCGCGCCTTCTTCTCCAGCCGCCGGCCCTTTACGCCTGCCAGCAGCAGCCCCCCTCCCAGCAGCAGTTGCGTCTTAGCTAGCTGCACCTCTTCGCTGTTGATGCTTGCTGCTGCTGCTGATGCTGGTCCTTCGTCACCTACTGCGTCGCCTGCAGCGCCTTCTTCTCCTGGTTTCATGACTGCAGCAGCAAGCAGCAACAATCAGACAACAGCATATGCAGCTGCTGCATTTGCGGAGCGCAGATACGAGCGCAAAACAGCAGCGGCAACAGTAAGCATGCCAACAGCAACGCTGGCTGCATAAGGGGAAGACGCAGCAGCAGCAGCAGCAGCAGCACCAAAGGAAGCTAGGCCCACTAGCTGTCAATTCGTGCTTCTCCAACTCCTTGCACAGCCCCGCCTTAACGGCTTTGTCTTTGTGCTTCTTCTGCGGCATGCACACAACCAGAAAAGAGGCACAGCCCTCTCAGCAGCAGCAGCATCAGCAACAGCAACAGCAGCAGCAGCAACGGAAAATAACAGCACCAGCAGCAGCAGAAGCAGAAGCAAGCGCAACAGCACAATAGCAACAGAAGCAGCAGCAGCAACAACAACAGCAAGGTAGAAGCGGCAACTTCAGAAGCAGCAGTAGCAACGGCAGCGGCAACTCAGCAGCAGCCCTTATGCTGCTTGAATGCTGCAGCTGAACAGTTGACTAGACAAGCAGACGCACCAAGAGTTGCTGCAGCTTTCTTTGTTTCCTGCTGCTGCCTGCTTTCTTTTGCTGCTGCTGCTGCTGTTGCGGCGGCTGTTGCTTCTTAGAACCGCTTGCCTTCTTCTCCTTGGGCTTGCGCGGCATCAGCAGCAGCGCGTTGCTGCCGGCCCCCGATCCCTGCAGCAGCAGCAGAAGCAGCAACAGCAACAGCAGCTGCACGCACTGCAGGCATGGAAGCACACACCAGTATCAAACAGCAGCAAACACAAGCAGCAACGTCAGCAGCAGCAGAAGCTGCAGCACTTCAGCTGGGCCTTACCGCAAGGGAATCTCCCCCGAAGAAAGACTCATCCAGTAATGCATTGCTGCCGCCTGTCTCCATCTTTGTTGTCTCCTTCTGCTGCTGCTGCTGCTGCTGCTGGTGGTGGGTCTTTTACTGCTGCTGCCTCCCTTCCTTGCGTCGAGTGGTCTGCCTACTTGGTATGGCTGCTGCTGCTGCTGCTGCTGCTGCAGCTACTGCTGCTGCTGCTGCTGCTGCTGCCTTCTGTGCGAGCTCCCCCAGGCTTCAGGCGCATCTCCACATGCAGAAGAAGCCTCAACAGAGGGGGCCCCGGAGACCCCCGGCAGCAGCAACGAAGTCGTGCTGCTGCCCGCTGCTCCCTTAGGGTTTAGGGCGTAGAGTTTAGGGAGAAAGAAGGCGTTTCCCTCGCAAGCCTTCTGGGTTTTTAAAAGCTTGCAACGCCTGAAGGCTGCTGCTGCAGCAGCAAGGAAGAAGCCAAGGGGCCCCCCCGTGCTGTAGAAGGGGCCCCCAGAAGGCCCCCGTGTGGGGCTGCGTTGCAGCAACAGCAGCAGCAGCAAGTGCAACCTCAACTGCAGCAGCAGCCAAGGTCTTCTTTGAGAAGTGTTCCGAATAACAACACTTAGACTGTTGGCTTTGGGTTGCCAGCTTCTGCTGCTGCTGCTGCTGCAGCTGCTGCGGTTGCTGCAGCTGCTGATCCTACCGACTCGCCAGCAGCAGCTCGCTGAATTTTGGCGCATGACGCCTGTCTCTTTCTTTTCTTTTTTTTGTTCTTTGTTATGTTTTTACTTTTTTCCTTAATTTGTATATTCTGTCTCAGGAAATCAACGAGCGCAAGTGCCCGAGCACGGCTCCTCCGCTGCAGCAGGGCCCCCGTATCTAGTTAGTAAATGTTTGGCGCGACAGCATATTTATTCTGATGAAATAAATTTAAAAGTTAATTTTTGAAGTTATTTTTTGCATTATTTAGAGGGATGAAGATGCTAGGGATCCCCTACTCCTTTGCTGCGCCTCTGGGCGCCTTATTGGAGCAGCACCTCCCCCGGCTGCCCTCGTTTTATTGGTGGTGCTTCCCCCTTATGTCTGCATTCTGCTGCATGCATTTGCTGCTCATGCTGCTGCTGCAGCGGCTGCGGCGGCCTGGCTGGAAGCAGAGGTTTCCGCTGCTGCAGCAGCACCTGTGGCCGCGGCACGGCGTAAACAGACTGCTCTGTATTCTGCATAGCTCAATAACATTGTTCTGGGGTTGTGCTATATTGTACACTGAGGGCGGCTTAGGAGGTGTCTTTTCTAGCCGTGCTGCTGCTGCTGCTGCTGCTGCTGCCGGTGACGGTGACGCTGCTGCAGCAGCAGCTGGTGCTGCTGCTCCGTGGGGATGTGGGGTCCCCAAGTATTTTGGGGGGGATATGAGTAGTTTGCAGCGCGCGTTGCTGCTGCATTCATTTGCTTTCTTTCTGTACGATATTTTATATGTTTGCTTCGAAGGAGATCTACCTACAACTCTCCACCACTTAGGGGCTGTATGTGCTATTGGTTACAGCTTCATACGCGGTGCAGCAGGAGCAGAGCTTGTTGCAGGTCTTACTGTGGGGGAGTGCAGCACGCCGCTGCTGCATCTGCGTTACTTTGCTAGGCATTTTGCTGCAGCAACAGCAGAGCAGCAGCAGAAGGAGCAGGAGGGTCCCCCGAGGAAGCAAGATGGGGCCCCTGATGCTGCTTCCATAGCGGGAGACGAGGACTCAGGTGTACGTACACCTTGTGGTGTATTTGGTGTTTCTTTTGCGGCTTTAACCAGAGCAGCAGAATTAGGGTTTGTGTTTGTCTTTATCACAGCTCGTGCTATTGGGGGTACTGCACTGACTGCTGCTACTTGCTGGTGCAGCAGCACGCCTCTCCCCATTAAAGCAATGGCTTCCTTAGTTTGTCTTATAAGCTATTTTTGGATAGGGCAGATACTTCTTCTTGTACACCGAAGGGGATCAGCAGGCAGAGAAAGACGCAAAAAAACTGCTTAGAATACCTCCTGCTGCACCTGCTGCTGCTGCGGCGGCGGCGGCAGGGGTTGCAGGACCGGTGGTTGCTGCTGCTTGCTGCTGCTGCAGCAGCCGCAGCAGCAACTACTGGCCTCACGACTTCCAAGGGTGCTGCCGGACGAGAAGCAGCAGATTCATATGCAGCAGCAAAAATATCGCGGTGTTAGGGCCTGCTGCTGCTGCTACACGCACAGACACGCAGAGGGAAGAAAAGAAGCAAAGGCTTCTTTTGCCCAGCAGCAGCAGCAGCAGTAGTTATTTCATGAACAGCAGCGCCTTGCAGCAGCTCCAAAAGCAGCAGCAGCATCTGCACAATACACAAAAGCAGCCGCAGCGAAATCTGCAACAGCAGCAGCTGCAACAGAAGCAGCTGCAGCAGAAGCACCTGCAGCAAAAGCAGCTGCAGCAGAAGCAGCAGATACTTTGTACACTTAATACCTACGCCGACCTGCAGATGTCCAGAGGATATTTTTCTTCTCGTTGAGAACTGCGGAGACACCAGAAGGGGGGGCTAGGGGTTAGGGTTTAGGGTTTAGAGTTTAGGTTTTATAGTATAGGGCTGGATGTACGGCTTGCGACCCCGTGATGCGGAAACCATAAACGAAAGAACTGCGGAGACACTAGAGGAGGAGGGGTAGTGTTCATGATTTAGGGTTTAGGGTTTAGGGTTTGGGGTTTACGGTTTTAGGGGGCCTCCGATAGGTGGAAGAAAGGGCAGGAGGAGACAGGGTTTAGGGTTTAGGGTTAATGGTTCCAGGGGGGTATTGACAGACAGAAAGAAAGAGGAGACAGATGATCAGGATGGTTTAGAGTTTAGGGTTTATAGTTTAGGGTTTAGCGTTTAGGGCTTGATGTATTGCAAAGGAGGCAACAGAAGCAAAGCAACCCCGAAGGAAACAAAAATACAAGGAGACAGAATACGAAGCAGTTAAGAGAAACAAGCAAGCAAAAGCCGTTCTACCCAGATGCAAACAGGCCCCACTCTGGTTACTTACGACAAACACATGCGAGCATGCATGCATGGGTGCACTTCTTGGTTTTATTAGTATTATTATAGCACGAGAGGGCCTATACCCCTTCTTTTCCCCTTAACCGCCCTGTATTGCATGTGTTGGCGCTTTCTGACGCATGCGGTGTACAGACACCTTTGAGTTTTTTGCTTTATTTGAGGGCTAGTGCGTTTAACAATTCGATTAAAGGCCTCAAAAGATTTTCTTTGCTGCACCTGGGCTCTGTTGTTGTTGTGCGATAGACTGAAAGAAAGGAGCAGCACTGCAGCATAGCTGCAGCTAGTTGCAGCTAGTTGCAGCTAGCTGCAGCTAGTTGCAGCTAGTTGTAGCTAGCTGCAGCTAGCTGCAACTAGCTAGCCACATTTGGCCCCAGCTAGCTGCAGCTAGCTGCGACTAGTTGCAACTAGCTGCAGCTAGCTAACAGCACTTGGCCCCAGATAGCTGCGACTATCCATGTGGGTAGGCCATCAGCTAGCCACTTAACTTTGCTTTTAGTTAGCTCCTGCTAATTGCTGCTGTCTTGGGTCCCTGCTGCTGCTGAGTGTCGGCAAACGCCAGCACAGGGCGTTGCATGCACAGAAAGCTATTTAAAGTGTTGCGTATATGAAGGGAAAAACGGCAGCTTAATAAATTAGCCGACGAAATATTAAGCAGAGAAACCCTGCTTATTGTCTTATAGGAAGAAGACAAACGTGCAGCGAGGGCAAACACGCGCCTCTACGGGAGTCAATTAACCCTTTTTAGATTTAATTACCTCTCACTTAAACATATTTTATTTTTTAAGTATATATTAAGAAGAAACAGGTTTATTTCCTCTTGTTTGTTTTGTTGAGGGGTGCGGCGCTTACGTATGTATGTACGGGCGCCTCAGCGCTGCACGCGGCGGTGATGGGTCACCGACAGCCTATACGATATTAAATATATATATTACAATACAGATAAAATATGATTAATTAAATTTAAAAAATTGTTTTATTTTATTTGTTTTTGCCTTTTATTCGCACGCAAGAGGAGAGGAGGCGGCCCCCCCTGCCTGCTGGTCTGCTGCTGTTGCGTGCAGCAGCAGCAGCAGCAGCAGCAGCAGCTCCAGCGGTGAAGAGCAGAAAGAGTTTACATTGGGGGGCTGAGGGGCCCTTTGGGTTTATTTGTTTGCATGTTTAGAGGAATAATATAATTAATCAACGTTGTAAGTTTAGTTTTTGTATTCAGAATATATAAAACCTTTATAAGAGAGAGCCTTAGCCACTGAGATGATGCCGGAGCTTGTGATGTCTGTAGACCGTTAACTCTTTTGCCTCTCTTGGTGTTTATTTTTCTATTTTTTCCTAAAATAAATGCTAGAAATATAATTAGTTGTTCTATTCCATCAAATTAACAACCAGAAGATAGCTTATTAACTCTCCAGCAACGACAACGCCGCAAAGGTCACTTGCTGCTCTCCCCCCTTAGAGGCAGCAGCAGCAGCAGCAGCAGTTATTTGCATAGCAGCATTTCCTGCTGCATGCATGGGTTCTCACCTTTATTATCATATGCTGCCGCTCGTGTACTCCCGACTGTACAGACACCTCATCAAGCCCCCCAGCAGCTCACCAACGGGACCCGTGCCCCCAGCTCAGGCCTGCAGCTAGCCTTTAAAGCGGGCCCCCAGTACTCCCCTGCCCCCCCTCCCTTTACACACAAGCAGCAGCACCAGCAGCAGCAGCAGCAACAGCAGCAGGTGCAGCAGTGATGGGAGGGAGGAGCGATGGAGGCTCCCGGTTTTCAGCGACGAACCTCCAACGGAGAAGGTGAGGAAGAAGACCTTGAGACTTCTTTATCTTTTTATGAAGCAGATCAGGGACCAGTAGACATCGAGAGGGGCCCCCAGGACCCCGAAAGGAGCATACACCCAAACGCCAGCACAACAATATTACGCAACCCCTATGCACACAGCAGCAGCAATGGGGGCCCCACACCTCTTCGCTCTCGCAGCAGCCAGACGACTGGCGCATCAGTGAGTGCCCCACCTCCAGCTCCCTCAGGAAGAGGTGCGGGGATCCTCGAAGGAGCGCCCCCTCAGGGTCTCCAGGGGCCCCCGTTTGGGGGCCCCCATGAGGGGGCCCCAGGAGGGGGCCCCCAAACGGGGGCCCCTGGAGACCCTGCGGGAGGGGCCCTGGAAGGGGGCCCCCAGCAAGGGGCCCCACAGGATGGAGGTGGTGTGTGTGGGGTTTTATCGTCATCGTCTGTTTCCTCTTTGTTCTCTCCTATGGAGCTGCAGAAGTACGCGAGTTATGATGAAGCTTTGTTTGAGGCTTTAAGGAGGTCTCATTGCTGCTGCAGGTGGGGCCCTATTGCTGCATTTGCTGCTAAGCATGCAGCGGAGCAATGCGTACTGACACCCAAGGGAGTTGAGAGATATATACAGAGAAGAAACCACATCTACAGACAAGCAGACGACCTGCTGCTGGGCCTGGGGGGTCTGGTGGACTTCGATGCAGCAGCAGCAGCAGCTGCTGCTGCTGCTACTGCTGCTGCTATGCAACCTCCTCCTGTTGCTGCCGCGGAAGACGCAGCTTCTGCATCTGGACCAGGCGAGGAAGACGAGGAACATGCCCAGCAGCACAACAGCAGCAGCAGCAGCACCAGCACCAGCAGCAGCAGCAGCAAAGAGCTGCAGCGGCGTGCTTTGAACTGGACAGCAAAGAAGCTTTCTTCGCTCTGTGATGATGCACTCGCTGCTAACCCCGTACTCATTGAGGGCCCCATTGCCCTCAAGTGCTGCGTCTTCAGGGAGACTATTGGGGCGGTGGTTCGTCAGGGTTTGGTGAGTCGCCTCCAAACCCTAAACCCTAAACCCTAAACCCTAAAACCCAAACCTTAAGCGCTACAGTCTTATGCCCAAACCCTCAGCCCCAGGCTCCTACGCAAAGAACCCTTCGTATTTACACAGTAAACCCTAAACCCTAAACCACTGTTTGCAAACCTTGAACCTTAAATCCTAAACCCTAAACCCTAGATACTAAAGGCCTCACGCTTTGTATCTGCGTTTCTCGGGTCCCTCAGCGAGACAAACACTTCTTCTGGGAGGCCCCAAGTTCTCTGCCAGCAGCACCTAGAAGCAGCAGCAGCAGCAGCCGCAGCAGGGAGTCGCTTCGTCGGAGAAGGCGCGCTGAGATTCTGCAGGAGGTTTTTCGTGCTGAGGGCGGCAGCCAGGAACTGCTGCAGCAGCTGCTGCAGCGGGTAGGCGAGCTGCCAGACCTCGACTTGCCTTTTGGGGGGCCCCCCAATAGGGGGGCCCCCCGACAAGCACCTGCTGCTGACAGCTCCGCAATGGAGTCTTATCCAGTAGCAGCAGCAGTCCTTTCGACGCAGCAGCACTGCAGCAGCCAGCAGCAGCAGCAGCAGGGGACTGAAAACCCAGGTGCTGCAGCGCCTACATCGGCAGCACCAACGGCAGCATCTATGGCCTCTTCTACGGGAGGGGCCCTTCAAAGCAATGCTGCTGATGCTGTTGCTGATGCTGCTGCCGCTGCTCCTGTTGCTGCTGCCTCTGGCATTGATGAAGACAGCAGCAAAATGATTGGGGAAGACAGCAAACAAGACGGGGTAGAAGCCTGCAAAGAGCAGCCTGAAGGGTTTCGATGCTCGCGGTCGTTGTTGCGGCTGCTGCTGCACGTGGCGCAGCAGCACTTGCTGCAGCACCGCATCTGTCTCAGGTCGCCTACAGCAAGGAAAGCCGTTTCTGCTGCTGCTGCTGCTGCTGCGGCAGCTGCAGCTACTGCTGCCCACCCTGACAACCACCAGGGAGGTTCGTGCCCTGAAGAGTCAACTGCACCACCTGCAGAGGGCTGCAGCAGCAACAGCAGCTGCAGCAGCAGCAGCAGCAGCAGAACCTCACCTGACAACCCAGCCACCCCGTCTGACTCTTCGCGGTCTCCTCCTCCGAGCAGTGAAAGGCAATCCCAGGGCCGTATGGGCGCTGCAGCTACCGCAGCACTTGGTGCTGCTGTTGTGCCTTCTGCTGCTGCTTCTGCTGCTGCTGCTGCTGCTGCTGTGGGCGGTGACCGGAGAGGATCCGCGCCTGCCCAAGAGGCAAGGCAAGGAGACACTCGTGTTGCTGCAGCGAGAACGGGAAGACATAGGAAGCAGCCGCCGCTTCTTACTAGCATTGCTGGCGGTGCAGCGGCTGCGACAGCAGCAACAGCAGCAGCAGCAGCAAAAGCAGCAAAAGGGGCTGCCAGAGGATGTGCTCCTTGGGGCCCCCACGATGTCCGCCCTGTAAGTGAAGAGACAGGGAGAAGCGCATGCATGCTGCTGCAGCGTATTGCTCTACGGCTGCTGTTTGCTGCTGCCTTGTGCAGCAGCAGATACACCGCACCTGTGCAAGAGCTGCAGCGGTTTGTTGCTGCGGTTGCTGCTGCTCTCAAGCCCTGCCTAACTGCGATTAAGGAAGTGGGTGAGCGCATGCGCTCCCCACAACGGCAGCAGCAGCAGCAGCAGCATCATCATCACCACCGCCACCACCACCAGCAGCACCACCACCACCATCGCCATCAGCAGCAGCAGCAGCAGCAACAGCAACATCAGCAAATGTGTTGTAAAGGGGTGCCCAATTTAGAGGGGACTCTGATTGATTGTGTTGCTGTGCCTCTTTGTTACGGCCTTGCTGTTGTCTCTGCTTGTCCCTGGCTAGGAAAGCTGCAGCAAAATGCAGCAGCAGAACTATACGGGTTGCTGCTGGCTGCTGATGCTGCAGTGTACGCAAACCCCTTGCTGCAGCAGCTCGTCGAGGCACTCAGCTCTGGGAGCACCAGCAAGCAGCTCCATCAATCACCGCACCTTTCGCAGGAGCAGCAGCAGCAACAACAGCAGCAGCAGCAGCAACAGCAGCAGCAGCAGCAACAGCAGCAGCAGCAACAACAACAACACCAACAGCAGCACTTGAATCTGCAGGAACAGCAAATCTGTCAGCCAGGTGGGCCACCAGTCGTTATACAGCTTGAGTGGGGCCCGCTGCCTGGCTGTTGTGCCCACAGCGGGGACCCGCTGCTGCTGCTGCTGCTGCTGCTGCTGCTGCTGCTGCTGCTGTTTCTTGTGCGGTTGCTGCTGCTGTTGCGAACGCTGCTGCTGCGAATGCAGCGAAGGCTGCTGCGGATGCTAATGGCGCCGCTGCTGCTGTTGCGACTGCTGCTGCGGCGGGTAATGATGCTGCTGCTGCTGCTGCTGCGGTTGCTTGTGCAGGGTTTGTTCCTCAGCCCCCGCTGCACCCGCTGCTGCGAGTTGTGGAGACACCGCATCCTTATACCCGGCATTATGCTGCTTGGACAGAGGAAGCAGCAGCAGCGTGGGCCAGCAGCCGCGGCGTGCGGCTCTCGCAGCCGCAGCAGCAGCAGCAGCCGCAGCAGCCGCAGCAGCAGCAGCACTTTTTTTATGCGTATCACGTCTGCCTACCTGCTGCTTCGCATATATTGTTGCTGTTTGATTGCAAGTCGGAGACAGAAGGGCCTCATGATGCCCTTTGGGTTAGACGGCCACTACACTTACAAAGAAGAGACAGTGTTTACCTCTCTTTTATTTTGCTGGGTGTCTGTCTCCTTTCCTTTTATGAAGTTCTGTTCGTCTTGTGCTCCTCTAACTGTCTCCTTGTCTCCTGTATTGTTCCAACTGTCTCCTTGTCCCTTGCCTTTCTCTCATTGTCTCCTTGTCTCTGTCTCATTATCTCTGTCTCCGCCCCTGTCTCCTTGTCTCTGTCTCCTTGTGTCTGTCTCTCCCTCTGTCTCTGTTCCTAGCGTCCTGTCTCTTTTTCTGTTCGTGCTGCTGCTACTGCTGCTGTTCATGTTCTTCGTTTGTTGCCTCTTGGCTGGCTGCTGCTGCTGCTGCTTCTTCTGCTGCTGCTTCTGCTGCTGCTGCCACTGCTGCTGCTGCTGCTGCTGCTGCTGCTGCTGCGTGGGTATATATGGTGAGTCGCTGCAATCGTTAGCCTGCAGTCTATCTCTTGCCTTGCAATATTAATTGGTGTTTGCTAGTGCCTGTTTTTGTTTGTTTTTGTTTGTTTTTGTTTGCTTTTTTCTGCTGCTCCTCTGCAGATATACAGAGGCATCTGGTCTTGTGCGCCTACGGAGGTACCCAACGAGTGTCTCCTCGCGGGGCCTTTCAGTGGCAGCAGCACGGAGGAGACAGGGGGCCCCTCTGGGGCCCCTGCTGCTGCTGGGGGGGCCCCCTTCCCGCAGCAGCCGCTAGTGTTTGAGGCATTTAGCCTTACTTTGTTCTTTACTGTAGCTGAGAGGGCCCCCCCCTCTCTCACTTCTAGCTGCAGGCCTAGGGGTTCTTTGTGGGGCTTCAAGGTGTATTGTCTGGGGCAGCAGTGGGTACTGCCGCCAGCAGCAGCTGCAGCAGCAGAGGCTGCTGTTGCTGCTGCTGCTGCACAAGAGCAGAGCTGCAGCAAAAGAATAGAACTACAGGACGCCCACCAGGGAAAGAAGGCCAGCACGAGTGAAGAGATGGCCTATGCTACAGAAGGCAACAGCAACGACAAGAACAGCAACAGCAGCAGCAGCAGCAGCAGCAGCAGCGTTGTGGATATGGTTGGGGTGGCTTCTTGTATGTCTTCGCCAGCGCAGCAGCATCGGGAAGACGGTCTGCATTTGCTGGTGGAGTTTTTGTTTGCATGCGGTGCTGCTGTTGCAGCAGCAACAGCAGCGCTGCTGCGGGGTTCTCCTGCTGCTGTTCACGAGCAGCAGCTCGCTGGTGCCCTCAACTCGCTGCTGTTTTCAGGTGGATACCGCAAAGAGAGAAGCCCCTGCATCCGCCGGCTGCTCTCAAGAAGCAAGGAGACACCTGAGGGCCTTGTGCTGCTGCAGCCGTGGAAAGGAGACACACGGAGGCCCACGCAGCAGCAGCCCCGGGAGACACCCCGCTGCATAGACACCGAAAGTGTTGAAGATACAAATTCAAACAACTCCCACCACCTCCGCCACAAACGCCAGCTGCAGCAGCTGCAGCAGATGCAGCAGCAACACCCTCAAACGCAACAATTAGCTGGCAGCTGCTCGCCCCACCATTTTGGGGGCCCCTCTAAGGGCCCCTCTGGGGGCCCTTCTGCGACCCCCTCTGGGAGCCCCACTGGGGACCCCTCTGGGGGTCATTCTAAGGGCCCCTCTAGAGGACCCTCTGGGGGTCCCTCTGGGGTCCCCTCTGGGGGCCCTCTCGGGGGCCCCTCTGGGGGCCCTTCTGGAGCCCTCCCTGGGGGCCCCCCAAACGGCCTGTATTCGGAGGGATGCGTGGGGCCTGCTGCACCTGCAGCATTTGGTCTTGCCCATCCGGGGAGGAGCAGCAAAGTGCCTCAAGTATATCGAGAGGAGACACTTAAGGGGAGCTCACAGACACAGGGGGCCCCCTGGGGCCCCTCAAAAGAAGCATCGGAAAGCTCGGGTACTGCAGCACTTCTTGCAGCTGCTGCACCTCCAGCAGAGGCCAGAAGCGCAGCAGCAGCAGCAGCAGGAGTGGGTGGTTCTGTGTCTGCTGCTGCTGCTGGAGGGGGCGGCTGCTGCGGCAGTCAGGATGTGCTGCAGCACCCGCTTCTTCTGGTGTCTCCTTGGAGGGAAGAGCTGCAGCACCTAAGGGCCCACCCAGAAAGCATTTGCTACATCATCTGGAGGGGAACTCCTTTAGGGAGGCCCCTCGCTTTAGTCCTCGAGGCAGCAGCAGTAATCTTCAGCAGGAGGGGGCCCCCCCTCGCTCTTGGAAGGGCCCGCAGGTCCCTGGCTGGGGGGGCCCTAATTAGCGAGACAGTTGGGGGCCTCAGCCTGCAGCAAGCAGTCAGGGCCTACTGCTGCTGTCTGCTGCACCACCTGCACATGCACAAGCTGCTGCTCTCGCTGCTCTGGGCGCTGCTGAAGCGAGCACCCGAGCTCGTGGACGCAGCAGCATCAGCAGCAGCAGCAGCAGCAGCAGCAGCAGGCAGCAGCAGCACCAGCAGCATCAGAAACAGGTTGAATGCGCTTGTGAATGGACAAGCATCCTGGCTAGCTGAGCAGCAGCAGTTTGCTGCCCTCGTCTTTGTATGGTCTGGGGGCCGCGCGTTACGGCAGTGGGCAGTGGGGGAGCGGCAGCGAGCGGTGCTGGCAGCAGAGAGCAAGCGGAGGGACCTTGCTGCTGCTGCTGCTGCTGCTGCTGCTGATGGGGGGGCTGCAGAGGTCCCCGCTGCGACGCCGGCTGCGGAGCATCACGAGCTGCTGCAGCAGCAGCTGCAGCACCAGCAGACGCTCTCTTCTTACTCCTTCTGGGCAGCAGTGCTCTTAAGTAAGGCGGCGTTGCTAATGAGGCTTAAACCCTATTCATCAAAGCAAAGAAAAAAGGAGGAGAGAGAACTCCCCTATAGTCTCGTGGCAGCGGGCCTGCAGCCCGTGCGAACAGCAGCAGCAGCAGCAGCAGCTGCAGCACACGCCTTCCGCGGGGGCCTCCACCTACCCAGCCGCATGCAGCAAGAGGGCCTTTGCAGCAGCAGCAAAGGCAGCTGCACCAGCGAGACTCCTCTTCTCGTCAGCAGCAGCTCGACGCACCTCAGTAGCAACTGCAGCAGCGACAGTTTGGCTCTGCACGGCCCAGATGTAGACCATCTTGCTGCTGCTGCTGCTGCTGCTGTTGCTGGTTCTGCGGGGCAGCATTCTCTGGCTTCCACGCCTGTCTCCACGCTTCAGTCTGCAGCTCCAACCCCACAAGCAGCTGCACCAGCAGCACGAACAGCAACAGCAGAAGCTGCTGCTGCGGAGGCTACCAGAGAAGGTTCAGACACAGAGGAGACAGAAGAAGAATACAGCCAACAAACGCTCGCTAAGGTTTTGTCTTTTCTCACTGCCTTAAACGGCAGGGGGGCCCTCTTACCGGTCGCGTCCCTCAAGGCTTTCTCCAGCAACAGGCATGCTGCAGCAGCTGCAGCAGCTGCAGCAGCAGCAGCAGGGACAACTCCTACGCTAGATGGGCCGCTGCGGCGGTGTAAAAAGGCGTTTGCTGCTTGGCAGCGCATGCAGAGATGCAGGGCAGCAAGGCAGCTGCGGCTGCAGCAGCAGCAGCAGCAGCAGAAAGAGATTGCTGCCGAAAGCATCTCCCACGGAATTGCTGCAGTCTTTTTTGCTGCTCCTCCTGCGCTGCCGCCAACAGCAGCGCGGGGTCTCACTGCAGCAGTGCGGTCTGTGCAAGCATCAGCAGCAGCAACCGCTGCTGCTGCTGCTGCCTGCAGCACCGACGTACCCCCGGAAGCACATCAGCAACAGAAGCTTACATCCTTAGCCGCTGCTGCTGCTGCCTCAGCCGACGCTGCTGTTCGCTCTGCATGCACTGCAGCAGCAAATGCAGCAGCAGCAGCAGGAGGACCCACAGCTGTTGCTGATTCTCCTGGCTCTGATACTGCTGCTGTTGCTGCTGAGGAGACTGCCTTTAAGGGCCTCGACGTTCCGCTCGTTGGGGGCCCACTGCAGCAGCTGCTGCTAGTCCAGTGCATAGGTAGAGCAGCAGCAGCAGCAGCAGCAGAGATGGTGAAGGAGGTTGCAGCTGCTTCTGGCGCCGCTGCTGCTGCTGCTGCTTCTGCTGCTCCAGTATTCTCTCTGCAGCGTCCCCGCACAGCTTCCCACGTAAGCCGAGCCACACCGGGAGGTTCGGCAGCAGCAGCAACAGCAGCAGCAAATGTAGCAGCAGCAATAGGAGCAGTACAGGTGGGGAGTGGGCACGACAGCTCGCCGCAGGCTGTAATTGCTGCTGCCATTGACGCAGCAGCCGCATCTGCAGCAGCGGCAAAGGAAGCAGAAGATGAGGCAGCAGCAGCAGCAGCTTCTCCTGCCGGGCCCCTTGATGATTTAAGCTGCCTAACGGAGGTGTTGCGGCAGCGTCGGCTGCGAGCGGAGGGGATGCTGCAGGGTTTAGATCTGCTGCAGCACGCTCTGCTGTCACTGCAGGGGCCCCTCCCGCTGCGGCTGCTGCTGCTGGTGCTGCGCTCTATGGGTAGAGAACAGCCTCTTGGCTTACCGCTGCTGCCTTGGGGGCCCCAAGTAGACAACAGCCTGCAGCTTGATCCTGCGCAGTGCATGCGGTGGCGAGGATGCAGCGGCAGCAGCAGCAGCAACAGCAGCAACAGCAGCAGTGGGCCTTGTTTGCCGTACTATCCTCTCTTTAGGCCTTATGAGTTCTCAAGGGGAGGAGACGATCCCCAGGAAGCAGAAGATGAAAGACTGCAAAAGGATCTCTTCGCTTCTGTACGAGGGTGTGGGGTGCAGCTGGAGAGACAGCTGCAGCTCTTCCATTATAGAGCGGTTGCTGTCGCTGTGCTGCTCGCAGACACCCACCCGCAGCAGCAGCAGCAGCAGCAGCAACTACAACAGCATCAACAGCACCAGCAACAACACCAGCAGCAGCAACTGCATCTGCAGCAGCAACACGACACTGGTATCTCGCACAGCCGTCAGCGGCCCCTCGCCACCCGGGAGCTAAATTGTTGCGTGGATGCTTCTGCTGCTTCTGCTTCTGCTAGTGCTTCTGCTGCAGCTGCAGCTGCAGCTGCTGCACATGCGCCTGAGCGCATCTTGCCGCAGCAATGCTTCGCGGTGAGCAGCACTGCTCTGTCAGTGCTGGGCCTCGTCCCTTTAGCTGAAGGAGAGACAACGGCGCTGCAGCAAGTTGGGCTGATTGAAGCAGCCTTTGCTGGCGCTCTTCCCATACAACAGCAGCAGCAGCAGCTGCTGCTGCTGCAGCAGCAGGCAGTCTTATCTCCTCCTCCCTACAGCAGGTTGCTGCTGCTGTTTATTATATGCCTCCGGCTTGCAGCTGCAGGACAAAAGCCTCGGCTTATGGCCTTGCGGTGCTGCACCGATTTGCTGCTGATTGCTGCTCTGCAAACAGCAGCAGCGAGGATTGCTCCTCACCCGCAACTGCAACAGCAGCAACAGCATCAGCAACAGCAGCAGCACCAGCAGCACCAGCAGCCTGCTCCAGTTGAGGAATTGGCCTTTTTCCTCTCTTGGGAGTCAACAGCAAACTTGTTTGCTGCTTTGCTGCTGCTGCTACTCTCGAAGACGTTCACATCCGACGCGGCGGCCCTTCATCAGCTGCACAGGTTAGCAGCAGCAGCAGCAACAACAGCAGCAGCAGCACCAACGGCAACAGAAGCAGCCGAAGCGGCATCTACTGCAGGCGCTACTCCTCATGCTACCTCTGCAGCAGCATATGACCACTGGTCTCCCTCTGCAAGTATACACAGCTGGCATCCTGTGTGCACGTCGATCGGCTGCAGCAGCAACAACAGCAGCAGCAACAGCAGCAGCAGCAGCAGCCTTGATGCCTTTTCGTGTGGACCCACAGCGTTCTCTCTGCATGCAGTTCTGTCGTCAGATGCACTTGCCGCTGCAGCGGCTTTGCTGCTCGCGGGCGGCAGCCCCAGACTGCAGCGGCAGGCGATCAGGCTGCTGAAGCTGTTGCTGCCTCTCAGCAGCCAGCAGCAAGCAGCAGCATTCCTGCTGCCGGCCTTGAAGGCTCTTTATGGGGGACCCTCGCACTCGCAAGAGGCGCTCCGAGATGTGCTTCTCAATGCTGCTGCTGCTGCTGCCAATCGCCACGGCTCTTACTTTTTCAAGCCCACAGCAGCAATGCAGCAGCAGTTGCTGCAGCAACGCCAGCTGCATCAGCAGCTTTACTTGCTGCTTATGCATCACAAACATATGGGGGCCTCCTTTACTCCTTTTTCAGGGTCATGCAGCCCCATGTCCGTTGCTTCAGCTGCAGCAGCGCCAGTAGCAGCCACCACAGCAGCAGCAGCAGCAGCAGCGGCAGGAGCACCAGCAGAAGCAGCAGCAGGATCGGCAGCTGACGACCTAGGCCGTGCTGCAGCAGAAGCTGCACCAACTGGCTTCAGCAGCTCTCTCCCCTCTTACGCCCCGTCGAGGGGGATGTCCCCACTTGGCTCCAACGGTGAAGGAGACAGCAGAAGCAGCAGCAGCAGCAGCGCAGCACAGCTTGCAGAGGGCCTCCTCGCAGCTATCGGCTGTGGCGTAGCGGTGTGCAGCCCCGAAACGATCGCCACAGCAGCGCTGCAGCAGCTCAGCGCAGCAGCAGCAGCAGCACCGGAGGCATCCGCAGCACAAGATAGCAGCAGCAGCACCACCAGCGGCAGCAGCAGGTCGTTGCGGCTTCTAGCGTCTCCTATGGCGTTTGCTTTGGGGGAGTGTTCATCAGGCCTTTCTCAGCTGTCTCGACACTGGGAGGAACATCTGCTGCATCAACTGGCTCACCGCGGTGGCATGCCGTACAGCAGCAGCAGCAGCAACAGCAACAGCAGCAGCAGCAACAGCAGCAGCAGCAACAGCAGCAGCGGCAACAGCAGCGGGGCCTGCATCCCCGTGTCTCTGCTCGCGCACACCCGCACAGCTAGCCAGCAAGCGGCGCTGTCTCTAGACTTGCGGGGATTGCTGCTGCAGCTGCTGCTGTGCTGCCAGTGGGGGCCCCACATCCGGCAGCAAATTCGAAAGGCGATGGCCTACAGCAGTAAACTGCTGGAGGAAGGCGCAAATGTGCTTCTGCAGAAGGCAGCAGATCACGCGGCACAGCAGCTGCAGTTGCAGCAGCAGCAGCAGCTACAACAACAGCAGCAACAGCAACGAGCACAAACACACACCCTGAACCAGTACCTACAGCCAGTACACCTAAACCAGATGCAGCAGCAAGACAAGTTGTTGCAGCAACAGCAGCAGACGGAACAGCAGCCAAACGAGCTGGAGCAGCAGCAGCAGCAGCAGCTGCTGCTGCACGGCAGTCAAGCAGCACTGGAGGAGACCTCGGTTCCAGTCGAGCACAGTTCACTCGAATGCCAGCAGCAAAAGCAGCAGCAACAGCACCAGCAAAATCAACAGCAACAGCAGCAGCAGCAGCAGCAACCGCAACAGCAGCAGACTCACCAGCATCACCGCCATCACCAACCCCACCACTACCACCACCATTCGCAATTTTCGCCTGCCCATGCGGACCCTTTCGGGTGGCTGGTTGATGCATGCAGTGCAGTAGGGAAGGCAGCTGCAGCAGCAGCAACAACAGAAGCAGCAGCAGCACCAGCAGCAACAGATGGAACCCCCCTGTGGGGCCAGGCGGTTTGTGTGGCGCTGGGGGCTCTTGCTGTGCTTGGGGGCTCTCCCGAGTTCTTAAGGGTTGGCAGCTCTTTACAGTCCGACAGCAGCAACAGCAGCGAGTTGCTGCAGCAGCAGCTGCTGCTGCAGCGCCAAAGCAGCAGACTTGTGATGCTCTCCAAGTACGAAGGCCTCGCCTTGCTGCAGGTCAACGAAGGAGAAAGCCCCGCGCTGCAGCTGACTCGCGTAACTGCAGCAACAGCAGCAAATCTATGCGAGACAGACGGGCATGCCATAGCGGATTTGCTGCTTAGAGGGGCAGAACAGCAGCAGCAGAACCAACAGCAGCAACAGCACCAGCTATTGGTGCAGCAGGAGCAAGACGAAGGAGACCAAGGGAGCCGCTATCGGGATTTAATAACGCTTGGGCAGACAGCACCTTCAACTGCAGCAGCAGCAGGAGCAGCAGGATCAAGTGCAGCAGAAGGCAGCAGCACAGAGGGAGAACAAATAACAGAGACAGAAGCACTCTTGAAGGAAGTGGTGCGGCTTACCTTAGCAGCAGAACAGGGGCTGCTGGAGGAGTCTTCTGATCCCTGTGCTGCTGCTGCTGGCACCCGCGCAACTCCACGAGGCACAGCAGCAGCACCAGCAGCAGGTGCTGCTGCTGCTGCAACTGCAGCACAGGATGCAGGAGCAGGTCGGGTGACTTGGCTTCCGGCTGGTCGCGTGGCTTCGTTGCTGCTGCTGCAGCTGCGAACGATGGCCTTATCAGCTGTTAGCGAGCTGCTGCAGAGTAGACGCGTTGCTGCTTCTTTGCTGCTGCAGAAACAGCTGCTGCAGTCCCTGCTGGTTGTCTGTCTCCGCCCCATCTCTGTCCCTTACCTAGAGGGCCTTGAAGAGCTGCGGGGCCTCTCGCTGCGGCTGCGGCAGCTGCTAAGAGACAGGCTGCATGGCTGTCTCGCTATAGAGAACAGGCTGCTGCTAAGAGAGACAGCAGCAGATGTGCTGCAGCACTGTCCATTCGCGGGCCTCCCGCTGCTGCTGCCAACCGCCTGGGAGCGGCGCACAGCACAGGGATTCGTCTGCCCTCCAGACGACTGGACAGTGCTGCTGCACCCACAAGAAGAACAGCAGCAGCAACAACAGCAGCAACAGCAGCAACAGCAGCAGCAGCGGCAGCGGCAGCAGGGAGAGACAGGCTCCCCTCTGAGCACCCAGCTGCCAGCTACAAGCCCTTCCTCCGGGGAAGATGGAGAAGCAGCCCGGTGTGACAAGCAGCAGCAGCAGCAACAGCAGCGACAGCAGCAGCTGCTGCTGCCGGAAGCTCCAGTTAACTGCACCACCGGAGGGCAGAGCCTGTCGGACACTCTTTTTTACACCGCAGCAATAAAGCCCGCTCTAGATAGTGCAGCAGCAGCAGCAACTGCTGCTAAGGAAGCAGCAGCAGCTGCTGCAGACGACGAAGCAGAAGCAGCAGCAAAACAAGCGCAAGCCGTAGCAGCACAATGCAACCAGCTGCAGTGCACCGCCCAAGCCAACCGGGCCATCCCCACATCTTTGCCAGCCTATTACTTCGAGGTGTACATCGACGGCGAGGAGACGCAGCAGCAGCAGCAGCAGAAGCACAAGCAGCAGCAGCAAAGGCAGCACTGCAGCAGGTGCACGGCGTTGTGGGGGGCCTCAGTAGAAAGGGACGCCGCTGCTGCTGGGCGCTGTACTTTAGCCTGCGAGCAGCAGCAACGAGAGCGTGTTGCTGCTTCTGATGTTTGCTGCCTCTGCGGCAGCAGCATCGAGGAGAATGACAGCGACATCGAATCTAGCAACAACAGCAGCAGCAGCAGCAAATGCAGCAGCAGCTGTCCGTTGGTAGCTGTAGGCTTGCACGTAGACGGCTGCGTCCTCAAGGCGGGGGACAGCAGCATGAGCAGCGGCTATCTCTACTGCAGCAGCGGATTACTGCTGCACGGGGCCTCTGCTGCAACAGCAGCAGCAGGTCTTGCTGCTGCTTACGGAATAGGAGACACAATTGGGGTGCTGCTGAATGCCAGGCAGCGCTGCATCGGCTTCACTAAGAACGGCAGCCTCTTGCGGGTTTTGCCCTGGAGCAGCAGCAGCAACAACAACGACCTGAACAGCAGCAGCTGCAGCAGCCCGAGCAGTAGCAGCAGCAAGCACGCCTTCATTGCTTTCCCAGATGTGCGAGGCTGCTTCCGCCCTGCTGTGTGGGCCGCATGCAGCAGCAGCAGCAAAAGCAGCAGCGGTGGGGGGCCCCTCCGCATCCGAGCCAACTTTGGGGGGGCCCCCTTCCTGTACCCTTTTGCTTCTTCCCTAGACAGCGGAGACATGCAGCAGCTGTTTGCAGACATGGGGCTGCCTCTGGCTTCGTTGCAGGTGCCTGCGCCGCTGCTGCCTGCAACCAGCAGCAGCAGCAGCAGCGGCAGCGGCAGCAGCGGGGAGTCTGCAGCAGCGGCAGCAGGATCTGCTGCAGCTGACGCGTCTTCATCCCTGCGTCCGAGTGCAGGCGAGGGCAGAGCAGCAACACAGGCGTCTCCTCCTGTCTCCTCTGGTGTCTCCTTGGGGCCCGTTGTGGGGCGTGGGTGTGGGGGGGGCCTCGGGGAGGAGGCGCTGCAGCGGCGTGCTGCAGCAGAGACGCTGAGAGATATGATGGGAAGCGGTTTGTTCCCCTTAGGCCTTTGTGTCTCCGCGCTGCGGCTTCAAGGAGACGATTTACAAGCAGCAGCAGAGTGGCTGCTCACCAGCGGCGTAGCGGAGCTTGAGGCCATGCAGATGCGCTTCTTAGAAGAAGCAGACCTCTCGGAAGAACCCCAGCAGCAGCAAATGCAGCAGCAGCAGCAGCAGCAGCAGGAAGAACTGGAAGTGCAGCAAGATTCAGAGCGCATGCAGATGCAGGAAGACACAGGAAGTACAGACGGCAAAAACGAGGACAACGACGTCGCCAGCAGCAACACCGCTAAAAGCGCCACTTGCAGCAGCAGCAGCAGCAATAGCAGCAGCAGCAACAGGGCAGGGATGGAAGAGACGCCTTCGAGTACAGAGGTGTTAGCGGGCGCCTCCCTCTACTCCTTAATGCAGCAAGCCAGCGAGCAGGTGGCCCCAGAATTTCAGCGAGAAGAAACCCACAGCAATACACACAGCAGCAGCAGCAGCACCAGCACCAGCACCAGCACCAGCACCAGCACCAGCAGCAGCAGTAGTAGTTTGTCCGATGAGATTGCTGCAGCAGTACTGCGGAGCACAAAGTGGTACGACGACCTTTTATCAGCAGCAGTTCGGCACCCCGCAGGTGGCGTTTCACGTTCTGCTGCTTCTGCTGCTGCTGCTGCTGCATGCGGTAGAGACTGGCGAGGGCAGCTGCAAGCCTTAGATGGCCCCGACGAGCTGCAGCTGCTGCAGCCTAAGGAGCTGAGGCTGGGCCTCCTTGTTCGCATACACCCCGCAGCAGCATCTCTCGTACAGGGAGTTGTCGTTATCCCAGAGGCTGCAGCAGACCCACCTGCTGCTGCAGCAGCAGCTGCAGCAGCCCCAGCAGCAGCAGAGGAAGTTATAGCCGCTACGGAGACGCACACGCTGCTGCAACGAAGCACTCGCAGCAGCAGCAGCAGCAACGGTATCGATGCAACTGCGGCGCGTCGTTCCGTGCAGGAGTTGCTGCTGTCGGCCTCCCAGTCTGCTGTTGAAGGCAGCAGCAGCAACCTCAGCACCTGCAGCAGCAGCAGCAGCAGCAAGGGAGTGGTGACGGCCCCAGTTATTGAGGGACTGGTGGCTTCAGCAGAAGGAGATGTGCTGCTGCTGGAGGGGTTAGCTGGCCGCTGCGGCTTCATATGGCAGATCGATGGTTTAGAAGAGCTGCGCCTAGCAGCAGGTGACAAACCCCGCAACAGCAGCGGCAGCAGCAGCAGCAGCAGCAGCAGAGTAGGTTTCCCTACGGTGGTGGTAGAGGTAGAAGATGAGGAAACAGGCGTTAGGAGACTCTTTAGGCTGCCGCAGACGGTCCTTTGTAGGGCGGGGCCCCCTTGGGGGCCCCTGCACGGGCTGGAGGCCCTCCTAGAGGGCCTCAGTGATCCTAGTAACAGCCAAGCAGCAAAAGGGTATTCTGCTGCTGCTGGGGGCCCCCCTATTCGCTCGCTCCTCACGTTGTTAGAGAGACTTGAAGGTGCAGTCGCTGGCCTCCAGGTTCGCTATGGTCTAGGGTTTAGGGTTTAGGGTTTAGGGTTTAGGGTCTATTGTGTGCTGTGTAGAAACGAAGGTAAACCGTTGAGGCTAGTGTATGGGCTGCTACTGCTACTGCTGCTGCTGCTTCTGCTGCTGCTGGATGTTGACTTCGCTGCTGGTGCTCTCTTACTTGTTTGTCTGTTTGTTGGTTTAGGTGCGTCAAGCCCTGCGGCGAATGCTAGAGGCCTTTGGGGGGACCCCTGGGGGCCCCTTGGGGGGCCCCGTCGAGGGCCCCCGTGAAGGCTTCGCAGGGAGCGTAGATGACCTAGGGGGCCTCTCTTCTTTCCTGCAGCTGCTGCAGCTCAGCTACAGCGAGTTGGGGCCCCCTTGCTTCGCAGGGGGGGGCCCCCACCGGACAGCGACGCTGATATCAAGTTGTTTCTCTGTGTGGCAGCAGAGCAAGAAGATAGCAGCAGCAGCACCGCAGCTGCAGCAACTGCAGCTGCAGCCTCCATCATTCATATCCTTCTTTCTCTCTAACAGCTTGGGGGCCCCCACGCTGCTGCCAGTGCCAACAGAAGGAGGGGCTGGGAACCTATTAGAGGCCCGGGGGGGCCTCGGGGGGCCCCCACCATCTCCGTTTGCAATATCTCCGCTGCTGCAGCAGCTTCCGTGCAGCAACCTGCAGCAGCTGCTGCGTCTACTGCAGCTGCTAGCTAGGGCCCTGGTGTTGGGGGGCCCCCAGGGAGACCTTGTAGATCAACTGGGGCCCCTCGTGCTGCAGCAGCTGAGGACGGGGTTCCGGCACCGGCTGTCTGTACACTGCGTAGAGTCGCAGCACCCCTTCGGTCAGCATCAAGACAACATTGCCACTGTCTCCTTTCTTCCGTGCCGCAGGCTGCTGCTGCTGCTCGATCCTAAGACAGACCTCGGGGGCTCTGAACAAGGCTGCACCCTCAGCATAGCAGCAGACGAAGAACAGGAGGCGATCTGCGTCTCAATCAAACACTCCGGTAATTCCTAACAAACCCTAAACCCTAATAAACCCTAATAAGCCCTACTAAACCCTAATAAACCCTAATAAACCCTAATAGACCCTTAACTCTCATCCATAAACCCGAAACCGTAATAAACCCTAATAAACCCTAAAGCCTAAGCCATAAACCCTAATAAACGCAAACCCTCGCCCTGTCCTCGCACCCCTAATCGAGCTCGCACCTAAACCACAAACCGTCGCCTCCCAGGCAACTGCAAGAAAGGTGCAGAAAATGCTGTCGAGGGTTTAGGGGTTTCTACGACGTTACAGCCACACGAACAACTCCCCTGAGAGGGTGTAAAGGACCTGTGGTCCTGTTTGCTGCTGTTGCTGCTGCTGTTGCTGCTGCTGTTGCTGCTGCTGCTCTTGCTGCTTGTACTGCCTGATCTCAGCGCTGTCTCTGCTGCTGCGGTTCGCTGGCGATGCTTCTGTTTTTGGCTTAGTCAATCAGTGCTGCTGCTGCACTCGCCCCTCCTACTATTGCTGCTGCTGCTGCTGCAGGCGCTGCTGCTGCTGTTATGTGTTTATGCATTTGTGTCTGTAGAAACCCTTACGGGGTGCCGACTTGAGGTGCTGGATTGCGGCCGGGTGTACATACACTCCGCAGGCAGCAGCCCCCGCTGGGGGTTTCGTTTGCTGCTGACTCCGCTGCTGCAGCGGCTGACAGACGCAGAAGCACTACGCGGCTGCAACTTGCACCTAGCAGCTGAGCTGTCTCTGCTGCTAGCTGCCTGTACACCTAAACATAAACACTCCGGCAAGTGCTTGCGGACTAGACCTCAACCCTAAACCCTAAACCCTAAACCCTAGACCCTGAACCTCTGTGCCATAACTTCAGCGTTGCTACAATTTCAGGCCGGGGGATTCTCTACGGCTTTTTGACGCTCTAGTGTTTAGGGTTTAGGGTTTAGGGTTTAGGGTTTAGGGTTTGTTGTTTGTGCTGCAGCTGTGTTGTGTCCGATCTTCGAGTTCCTGCTGCAGCAGACGTCCTCAATGGCAGATAGACCTGCTGCAGTTGCTTTGCTGCGGCAGCTGTTTAATATGCTGCAGCCTCTGTCTTACTCTCCTGCAGCAACGTTGCGGACCCCTGAAGAGCAGCAGCTGCTGCGCTGGCAGCTGCAGCTGCAGTTGCAGCAGCAGCTGCAGCGGCAGCAGCAACAGCATGTAGGAAGCGTAGAGTTGCCTGAGACATTCGCCTGCTGCTGCGCAGGAGGCTATGGGGTTTCCCTTGACTGCAGCAGCAGCATATCGCGGCGTTTGGTGCAGCTGCGGGCAGAAGCTGCTGCTGCCTTTGGGTGTCTGTACAGCCGGCTAGAGGCCGTGACGAACGGGGGTTTTGCTGGCAGCACGAAGCTGCTTTCAGGGATGGGGGTGCTTGCTGCTGCAGCACAGGCGGAAGCAACAGGAGAGGAGACAGCAGCAAGGGCCCGGCTGTCTCCTGAGAGCCGCACTGCAGCAGACACACACCGCGAGATCAGCAGAGACAGACTGAGAGCAACAACAGATGTCTTGCTGCTTTGCCACGAGCACCAAATAGACCCTCTTATTAGGCGCGTATGTGGACTTGCTGCAGCCAGAGACAAGCACAGCAGCAGCAGCAGCAACATGAAGCAGCAGCAGCAGCAGCAGCAGGGAAGAGGAGAAGCATCGAGGAGCTGTCAGACGGCGGACTGTCTCTTGCGTTCCTCTCCGGCTTCAATGTCTTACCCTGTGGCAACAACAGCAACAACAACAACAACAACAACAGCAGCAGGAGCCAGACAGCCACTGGCAGCAAACGCGCCTGCAACAGAAGGGCTGTTCAGCAGCAACAGCAACCAAGAAAACAATGCCCTACAAGAACGGGCCCCTTGGGCCGAAAGGCAGCAGCAACAGCAACAACAGCAGCAGCAGCAACAGCAGCAGCAACAGCATTGTGAAATTGAACAGCCACAGGACGGGTCCGACGACCTGATGCAAGTAGACCAACCCGCATCCATACAAGCAGCCACGCAACAAGAGCCGCAGCAGCAGCAGCAACAGCAGCAACAGCAGCAGCAACAGCAATACGGGCAGCGGCGACAAGGCAGCTCGGACCTCCTCTCCGCTCTTAGCTTAAGGTGCAGATACAGACAGCAGAAACCATTCTTCCTGCTCCCATTTGCTGTAGATGGATGCCCTGCTGCCATTGCTCAGCGGCCGTGGCCTCAGCAGCAGCAGCAACACCAGCTGCAGCTGCAGCAGCCGCAGCAACAGCAGCAGCACCACCACCACCATCATTACTACCAGCGGGCTACTGCAGGCCAGCAGCAGAGCAGAGAGGAAATTATTCTTGAGTCGGTGCCAGAGGAGCTGATGCAGCAACAAGAGCAGCAGCAGCTGTTATCTAGTCAGCAGCATCAGCAACTGCAGGAGCAGCAGCAGCAGCAGCAGCACGAACAGCCGGGGCCACTTGGCTCCTTTATGCATGTTGACTCTGACGGTTTCTTTGGGCATAGTGCGCCTGTGCAGCATCAGCAGCAGCAAGAGCAAGAGCACCAGCAGGAGCAGCAACAGCAGCAACAGCAACAGCAGCAGCAGCAGCAGCAACAGCAGCAGCAGCAGCAGCAGCATGGAGTTCAGCCTCGCCTGCCCGTTGGCAGCGCTCAGGTGTCTCTGCAGTACTTAACAGAATTCTTGCGGCTGCGGCTGCGGCTGCTCAAGGCATCTGTGGGGCCCCACGATGTAACCTGTCTCCTTAAGGGTCTCCTCTTTTGTTTAGGTGGGGTGTCTCTACAGCTGCCGCCTGACCGGCAGCTATGGCTGCCGCTGCTGCAGCTCTGCGGGCTGTCAGCTGCTGCCCACGCAGCCGCAGCAGCAGCAGCAGCAGCAAATGCAGCACCGACAGAAGCAGTAAATACAGCAGACGCAGCCACGGAGGCTGTTGCTGCTGCAGCAGATCCTTCAGGGGAAGACGCGGCACCGCTGCAACAGCAACAGCGGCAGCAGCAGCAGCAGCAAGGTCCACAGCATCAGCTGTTGCTGCGTCTGCTAAGCCATCTTCCGCCTGCGCAGCAGCACATGTATTCTGCTGCTGTAACGAAACGAGGAAAGGCTTCCCCTCAACCCACCGCAGCACCAGCAGCAGCAGCAGCAGCAGCAGCAACAGCAACAGTGGGAGCAGGAGCAGGAGGAACAGCAACAGCAGCCGGAGCAGGGGCAGGATCGGGCGACCGAGCAGGAGCAGCAGCGGCAGCAGCAGCAACAATAGCAGCAACAGCACCTTCCGTGTCTCTCGCATTACGAGACGCGCTGCTAAAGGAGACACTTCGTGTCTGGTTTGCTGCTGATAGAGCAGCAACAGGGACTGAAGTCTTTAGGGATTACGCTGAGTGGCCCCCAGGGGCTGCTGTCTTTTTATGTGCATTTCCCCCGCCTGCCTTCAGCCGCTGTCTCCTCACTTGCAACTTCCTTAAGATATTCGCCTTACAGAGAGACGCTGCGCTGCAGCACCAGCAAGCAACAGCAGCAGCAGCTGCTGCTGCTCCTGCTCCTGCTAGTGATGCTGTTTGTGAAGGAGGAGAGACGCAGCAGCAGCTGCAGCTGGTGGAAGAACAGATGGATGACCAAGGAAGTGAAGCGTCAGCGGACGATACAGCAGCAGCAGCAGCTGCAGCCGCACCATGTGAGACAGCAGGTGCAACGCAAACACCCGAAGCAGCAGCAGAGGCAGGAGCAGCAGCAGCAGCAGCTGGGCCAATGCGGAGAGTACAGTCGCCGCGGCAGGCGCTGTCTCCTCTCTATCGTTTGCTATCAACGGTCCCTCTTGTGCCTTCTACAGAGGCATCTGCTGCTTCTCAAGCTGCTTCAGACGTCTCTGTCTCTGTTTGCCCGTCAACAGCAGCAGAAACAGCAGCAGCAGCAGGAGGCAATGACGCTGGTAGTGGCCTTGGCCAAGGAGCAGTGCAACCATACGGCGCTGTTGAGAGCAGCAGCAGCAGCAGCCGAAGCAGCAGCAGCAGCAGCAGGGAAGCTGCTGCTGAGGCTTTGCGGTCTCAGTTTGCTGGGATTCAAGAAGTGCTGCTGCGCTGCGTGGCAGAGACAGCAGTGAAGCAGCACCATTGGCCTGTCTTCCCTGGAGTTGTGCCTGTAGGGGAGCCCCGGGCAGCAGCTTCCTGGTGCCGCAGCAGCACTTGCTGCAGCAGCAGCAGCAGCAGCAGCAAGAGCAGCGGCCTGCAGGAAACAGAGACGGAGGCACAGAAAACCCTTGCTGCATGCAGACAAGACTTCCCTGAACCCGTTGTCTCTGTGGGGCTTGACGCGAGGCCTCCTTGCACATTTTCTTTCTGGCTGTACGATGATGAAGAAGAGCCTCCCACCCCTCCGCCCCCTCCGC